CCTCAATTAACTCAAGCATGGACTGTTCACCATTATGTAAGGAAATAATGAGTAAATATGGAGTGCTAGAATGCGATCTAACGGAAGTATTTACATCAGTGTTATTATTCTCTACAATTTCTGTCACTTCTGCAGCAGCTGAAAGGTCATTCAGCAAATTAAGAATAATAAAAAATTATTTAAGAAATAGTATGGGCCAAACTCGACTCCTACATTTATTGCTGATAGCAATTGCCAACAAAACCGGATCAAGTCTGGATTTAACCGAATTTATTGATACTTTTGTGAAAACTAAAGCTAGGAAAAGATTGTGATTATAATAGCTATTTAGTCAGTTGGTAGATCTGATCTTTATATAATAATAATAATAAACCCTTGAATCTTTTCTATTTCGTTTTATTGGCCAATACCTACTCCAATTATTAAAATAATTGTAATTTATGTTGTAAGTGTTTAATATATTTTTATTACCTACCCTGCAATGCACGAAAAAGAGCTGATGATAAAGTAGCTTAGCATTTTTAAATTATTTGTATATTTAATGATTTTACTTTATAAAACCTTACCAGTTTTGATAGCATTGGGGCCCCATTTGTTCATTTGCCCCAGGGCCCTAGGTTACCTAGCTACGCCACTGTTTCACGAGTTTTTATTACCGAAAGCGAGTTTCTGAATTAGTTGATTATTCGACTTTTGTTCGATCGAATCCTCGAAAGTAGACCAGAGCACCAGGTTTTGACCTCAGATTCGTGATCAGTGCACCAAACTATGTAAGTACCATAATTTTATTTTGAGTTTTACAGCCGTGTGTCCGAATAATTACCGAAAATACTACATACACAAATACAAATACTACAAATACTACAAGTCACGGTCATATATTTACCCATAATTTCCAATTGAAGTCTCTATACCCACCTAACCTACCTCTATTTTACATCTGACCAAAACATTTTCACTTTGGAACCGATGAATTATTGTTCGACTATCATTTGCCATTGAAATCATTCGTGTCAAATATTTTATCATCCAAAGAAAACTACCTACCATAGGTAGGTTGACTTCCAATATTTTCCGTTGGAGTTATTACTGAAAGTTGTAAATACTTTTTTCCAAAGGTGTACGTACTGTACGTGTATATCACATCGATTCTAGTTTCAGTATCTGATGGGATGTTAAATATCAAAAGCCTACGCTTCAAAAGTAATCATCTTTCATCGAACTGGAAAAAAATTCAAATTACCTTAGATTTACGTTTCCATGAAATTCCCTGATGATAAAACAAAATTACTTGTTTGATATCATAAATATCACATTTTTCAGCGTTGACTGCTTGTGTTTATAATTTGATTCGATGAAGCTCTACAGCAGGGCCGGTTCAGGTGAATGATTAATGAAATTTGAAAAATATTAGAGATGAAACTGGGGGAAATAATGGTAACCGCTGGCTTTGAAGTAGATAATTTTGTTTGGGGAGGATCTAGTCACCAGTTTTCAACACTTCTTGCTTGAATAACACAGATTCACGGAAGAAAAAAATGAATACCAATGTCAGATATTCACTAGTTGAACCCAAAAGTAGGAAGGCTGAAGTGGATTCTGGCAAAAATTGACAAACTTTTGGTATGCGCCTTACGAATTCAAATCTCACGTTTGGAAGATAATCATAAAAAATACCTAAATGAATATTGAATTCGTATTATCACTTCAATAAAACAAAAATAAACAAAAAAATTGCAGCAGAACAGTTCTAATTCTTAACATTTCAATAATTTCCAACGGACCTGAGTCCATTTCTTCTGGTGAGAGATTATTCTCAAAATCAAAATTAATTAGAAACTATTCGAGATCTACTATTCTACCATGGGGAATTTTTTTAAAAGAATTTGCAGCAACCATATCGAGAAAAACGCCAATTTCTTGACTAACTTTGTGCTGTTAATTTGATGTTTTTTTTTCGTTTGCTTTGTTTTTTGAAGTTATACTTCTTTTGGCGCGTTAGGGAAAAAACAGAATTTTTTACGATGCGCGCGCACACCGTCACAAAAAAACCAACACCCTGAAATTAACTTCTTCTTTAATTTACATTGCCGTTGGTTCTCAGTCGAGCGCATTTGGCCAGACTCCTCCTGTCCAGAGTGAACGGAAGCTTCATTCGAAGGCGCAGCTGTCTTGCTCGAGGCAATGCTGCCACTCTGTTTTTTGATTAACTTTTTCTTTCATAAAAAACACTTCATTTTTTACAAGGGGTCGCCAGTCCTCTCAATATGAATTCCACAAATAACACATCTATTATTGCACAGACGACCTCGTTGACATCCAGCATGGTTACTGGCGTAGGGGGCCGCCAGTCCTCTCAAAATGTCTTTCACTTCAATATTTATTCGAACTTGGCCTTATTTTTTCAAAAACACCTCACTTTTGGCCATCTTTGAAGACGGTCGTTATCGGCACAATCGTTCTTTGTCGCGATCGGAGAGGAAGTTCCTGAAATTAGCTAGTCAAAGTTTTAGTTTTTCAAAGAAAGTATCAAACAGACTAAAAATAGACATCTACAGCTACCGGGCTGAGTCATGGCCGGTGAGAAGCCCCTCCCTCAAGATGTGCAGTAGATGTGTAGAAATCTGTTATCAGAAATCCATTTAATATTTACACCTTGATCCTTACAACGTAAAATTGCTATTCTTTTTTTTCCAAATACTTTCTTTGTCATACATCGAACCAAACTTTACGCAGGTACGATTTCTCCTTCAGATAAATTCGGACGTCTGCGTTTGCTTTGACTGCTTTCATTTTCCATATTGCTCACAGTTCTCATTAGAAAATTGAACTGATTCATAATGATATTTCCCTTGTTCCAGTCCTTGAACAAATCCCTTGGTTTTTACCTGATATAAAATTTATTTTTGTGTTGAAACAGTGTTGAAACAATCCTAAATCTTTATAACTAAATTATAATGACAGATCGAAGAAAAAAACCAATATTTACTCTACGTGTTATTCAATGAATGTTACGCTCAGGAATGTTAACCTAACCGCGCTCAGCTGATGGGCCAATATTCATATCTCTCTATGTTATCGCAAATTTAATCTGCCGTTGTTTTTTCCGCTCCCCAAACATCTCTGTGAACGCAATGTTTCCGTTTATAAATTTTAGTCGCAGAATATAATTCAAATATTTTATTGTAATAGTAAAAAATAAAGTAATAAACATTGATGCTGTTGAATACATTTCATCAGCAGGAAGTTTCTGTAATGAATAAAATACGTCTGTTATTCTTCGAACATTTAGTTGCGTGTGTATGATTTGAATAAAAGATGATATTATATATGGAATAACAACCTGACAACAATGTTTTCATTTCAATGCAATAATATTTCTAAAAATTTAGCGCCTACTATTATGGAATTTCAGTATAGTCTACTGTGATATCGCTACCTCCATACATAGGGACTCTTTGAACCACACCAGATATTCAGTATGAAAATAAAATATCGGATGGTTCTTTTCATCCGATGCAGCATTTCGGTTTGTGCTAATGCTTTATAGCTGTCATGAAGTATCTATACCTTCTATGAATAACGGTCTAGCACACAGAAGAATACATTGAACCGACAGATGAGATGGATAAATAGAGAAAACAAATTACGAAAAAAATGGAGTACCATATTGTGTAATCCCCGGACAATTTTTTTGTTACAGTCAACACTGTAATGAAGAGTACTGGTCATGATAGCACCAAATCTCAGTGTTATCAACCGTGGCAGAATTCCGCTACCGTAGCGGAATTTACTCCACAGTAGCGGTTCTAGCGGATTTGAAGATAAAGTAACGGAATTTTCAAAAAATAATCAATACTGAAAAAATATGAAAAAAGAAGAGTCAGTGGACAGCATTCGACGCTGACAGCTGACAATTGAATTCACAGTCAATACGTTATAGTCTTAGTAACTGAGGCCATTACATGATGAAAGAAAGAAGAAGATTTTTTAATATTCTGTTGGTGAAAAAATCCAATGAGATAAGGAGGAATATTGTTCGTTAGTTCAATTTAATTGGATCATATTTCAATTGAAATGAAATGAAAGATATTCCTTGAGAAGTACTTTCATTTTGGATGTACTTAGAGAATATTCAAGACTTCAATGATATTTAAATCCATATCAGAATTGTACCTCACAGTTTCAACTCTTCCTCACGGAAATGCTGATGTGCAACGAATATTTTCATTTCTAAATAACATCAAAACTAAAAAAAATGAAAGTCCACCAGCATGATCAAGGCATTTCTGTCTATAAAACTGGATACTTCAAATGAAAATAAATGTTGTAGTGAATATGTCTTCAATGAAAGGTATTACGAAAAATACAATCAATACATGTACGACCACAAAAATAGACTTATTGATACGTCCCATATATCAGAGACTGACTCAGAGTAGATTGTCTCGGTATTTATTTCGGGATTTGAGAATGTTATTTTTTTATTATTTACAATTCTAGATTGACTATGTACGTGAACAAATTGATCTTTATTTTCACTTATATGAAACAAAAATTTATGTATACTTTTGATTTCTTATAAGTACCAAATCATAATAAAATTGTCGTGTGATATTTATATTCAGTTTTTATTGATTTTGAGATAATGTTCTTCTACAATAAATCCTATTCCAAAATCATTATTTCAAGCTAAGAAATATTTGGTTGAGACGACGGCTCTCAAAAATTAACTGCTGTAAATTTAAAAAATTAGGCTGCATATGATCCTGATTCCTGACAGTTCCAGTTTTGTGTATTCGAATGGTACATGCACTATGACTTCTTAGAATTTTGTATAGGGCGTAGGCGCGAACTAGGAAAAAGAAGCTTGAGGTTTGAAAAAACAGGTAATTTTAGACAACCCCAGGTATTCAGCTGGACCCAATTGCGCCTGAATAGGAAACAGCGGCCAATAAAGAAAGAAGAAGAAGAACAGGTAATTTTGTATATGGTTACTATTAGTAATTAATACCTGGGGAAATATATAAAATGTTGCATTACGTTAAATATCGACAGTTTGTAAGTAGCAAGGACCATAGTGAGAGGCATTGGACGTTTAGACTTGTACTTTTTTGGATAGCATAAAAAGTTTATTATTCAGGATGGTATTGCCTACTATTCCCAAAGATTTGAGAGGTCTTAGAGCTTGTCTGATGTGCTCGTTGATAAAGGTAAGTTTGTTTCAATTGATATATTAGGGATATAACTATTTGAAACAATATGTATTATACATAAACATCTTTCTATATAATCTCAAAAAGATTAATGATGGTTTTTTTGTTTCTCACCAGAATTGGTAATGATGGGCATACTCGAATTAATCATATCAGGATCAAATTCTCAGTATTCAAGTGACCCAAAAAATATTTTATGAATAATTAATCACTTGAATTCTACTTCACTCACCAATTCAATATCAACTTGAGAATCGATTGTGCTCAATGTATTTTATGTGAGCAATGACTATGGGAACATTTCAGCATATTTTAACTGTAATCTAAGGCAGAGTCTTCTTCACCCCATCCATTGTTACCTTAATAATGAAGCAAAGATGATTCAATGAAATTTAGCCGAAGTGGACCACATTTATTGAATTACACTGGTTGGCAATGGAATGTCTATGGATTCCAGCAGAAATGAGTTTCTCAAAACAGCTCACAAATTTAAAAAGGAATCGTCTCTTGCCAAAACATTTTGATAACATTTCATTTTTAAATAATAATTTTTTTGTAATTTCGAAGATTATTTTATAAATAGTTTTTGTTCCTGTTAGGGTTTATTGTTTGTTCATGCTTTGAATATATTCTAACCTACCCCTATATTTTCTTTGTGTTTATGTAAAGGATATCATGATTACAAAAATCATCTATGAAATAGTTTAGTATTAGGTTTCTAAAAATTATGCTCAACATTCCACAAAATTGGTCTCTGCCATATTTGACTGGAACTTTCCTATCAATATTTTACGTTCTTCTCTTTTCATTCAACTCGGTATTCCTTTATAGCATTTGAATTTGAATGATATCAATTATTCGAATTAATTCATTCAAGTGCTCGACTGATTGGAAGAAATGAATGAATAGCTTCAAAGCAAACATTGCTTCCACACACCAGATCTGTAACACTTTTCTGGGCACTCATATATGTAATCTCTTATACATCTTTTGATCACGCCAAATTGTTTGGTGAAATGCTCTTCGTTAGGAGTATTTCAGTTCTGGTGTGTGGTTGCAGTGATTGTTTTACATTTTTTCTGTTCTACCTTTCGGTGAAGAATAACAGAAAGGAATCAGAGAGCATAAAATGGCGGGAATGATCATTCTGGTAGCAAAAAGTGCGGCTATTATTATTAGTTTCTGGTAGGCAATGGCTACTTGGCATAATTCATAATTAATGTACTATTTCAGAGCGTCGATCAGTTTGAAAAAGAAGGATGCGACAACTGTGAAGAATTCTTGAGTATGAAGGACAACATAGACAATGTAGTTGACTGTACAAGCAAAAACTTTGAAGGGTAAGCAAATTACAGAATTATTCATTATGCCCTTCAACTTTTTATTTTTCTAGAATGATTTCTATGCTAACTCCTGGGGACAGTTGGGTGGCCAAGTGGCAGAGAATTAGTAAGTTGTTGAAATAGATTGGGTGAGGATTATTAATAGATCTTGTTTCAGATCATTTCTGCAAAGGTGTTTATGCGATTTCCGTTTCGGGACGTCTTCCAAACAGTATCGTCAGAGAATTAAGAAGTCGTGGCATAATCTATAAGAGCAGAGACACCAGCCGATGATCATTTTTTATCATTGCAATCTTTTCAAGGATTTTTGTTGCTGTGAACCATATCATTTTGTATTTTTCTCATGTATTAAATGTGTGATTATTTTGACTTACGTTGTGTATCATTTTTGATAATACTATTTTTAGATATATACACTTTATATAGACTTTCCAGTAGCTTATATTACACAGTAACTTTTTGGGGTGGAGTTTTCAGTTTGCCCTTTTATTTTTTCAGATTGTTGAAGGTTATAAACCCAAAAAAAACAGTATGAAACAATTTCAGTGGTATTTAATTTTTCTATTAAATATAGCTAGTTTCGAATGTGAGGCTTAGTAACAGTTATTTTATCCATTAGTTCAGTTTTTAATTTTTATGATGTAATTGAATTATCAAAACAGAAGATTACAGTTTCATTATATTTGGACTGAGAGGGTTGAATTTTGATTAACAATTTAAAATTTCATCAGAATCCACCTTTCATCTTGAGATAAGATTTTAAGTTTTTAAACCAAATCAGTGTTCCGTAATTATGTCACTATAGGTGTGAATGTACGGTGACCAAATTTTTACTTCAATAGAATAGAGAAAGCTAAAAGACTAGATTTCTGCTTTTCAGACATTTATGTAGTAAGGATTTTTCATTTATCCACCCCTATCTCTACGTTTAGATTACAATTCCAAACATATTTGGAATATGGTTGTTATGCGACACTGAACAAAGTAAAACATCAAGGAACGGAACAGTTTTCAACCTTTTTTCATTAGTTTTCTATACTTGCAAAATAATTTCGTATGTACTGTTTTTTTTGGTTGCTGATTCCGAATTTGAAAACAATTTCCATTTGTATCAACTTCTACAGCGGAGGAAATCTCACCAAGCAAAGCTGATTCAACTTTTTATCTAATAGATATATCTGACACCACATAAATAAACACCACTTCATTTTCATTATAGGAATGCCATGATGCAGCTTTTATAAAGTTTAACCTACCTATCATTTTGTGATCATGGTTCAACTGCAATTTTTTTAAATGCCAATTCAGTCTTTGAGGCAGTGGCAGTGTCTCTAATTTTTGTGGGTGTTTGCTAGCCATTTTTACTTAGGTTCTTTCAACTTCTCATTGAACATAAAAATAGGTGAATGTGACAAATATAAAAAGAATTGTACCTGGAATGGATGTAGGTATTCAGACATTTATTTGTGTTCTTACAATAGGCGGAAGTGTTGTTTTTTAACGTATATATGATATTAAACCAGTGCGATACGAAAATGTACTGTCCAAATACAGTGTGCTCAATTTACACCGAAAAAAAGCTTCTTGGCTTTCTCCTCCATATTTATACGAAAAATGTGCGAAACTTCTGGAGGAAGGGAGAAAGCAATTAAAATCAAAATAAATTCCTTACAAAGAAACTAACTGGAAAAAGCCCTTCCGACACGACTACTTTCACATGAACATTAAATTACATAAAAAAATTTCTTTCGAAACAACTACTTTTATATGAACATTGAATCATACGAAAATTACTTTTTCCTATTGAAGATGTTGGTTTTCCTTGGAAGTAAGTGAAATTGTATGCCGTAACTTTGAATATGAATTTTTTTCAATTTTTTTTATAAAGATGGAGAAGTGGAAAGCCAAAAAACTTTTTCCCAAAAACAAACATAATTTGGTGTCAAAAATTCGAAAATATATCTTTCGTGAATAATTGACCGTACTACCACCTGCAAAACAGCACGCGTACTACAATAATAAGTTTTACTTGGTCAATATGATATATACATCAATGTTCCAAATGTGTTCGGAATTCTAAATTCTGAACAACAGAGATATGGAGTGGATTCATAAAAAACGTGACCCTATATGCAATTTTTTAAAAAGAGAGTTTCGAGCCCAAAAGAAAATTTGGATATGTATTCCAATTTTCTTTTTATTCATTCAAAACTGGAAGAAAAAAGTGTTATGACACTACATCTACAGCAATTTCTACTCTATATAGGATTTTGGCTCTTTACAATATCTTTCCTCTACTTCAGCACCTCTGAGAAAATAATAGCGTACGTCAGTGATCGACTCAGATCGACTGATCCTCTACAACTGACTTTTTAACAGTGTGACAGGTGACAGCTAACCACTCTTTAATTGACGTTTTTAAAATGACGTGTAAATAAAAGTTAACCAATAATCATACATCATACGATTAATCCAGATTGTAATTTGTAAGTTAGAAAAACTGTTTTAAAACGGAATTACAAGAATGGTGTTAATGACTATGATTGCCCGTGTGGCCGACGGCCTTCCTTTAGCAGCTACTATGCAAGAAGATGAACAGGTACATATGAATTTTCTAAAATATTCTCCATCATAAATTATTTTGTTTTCAGTCTGGAAGAAGTATACTAGACTACCAAAACCAGGCGAAAATGTTATTTCGAAAATTAGGACCTCAATCTCCTCCTAGGTGCACTATTGAAACTGGACCATATTTATTCCAGTATGTTGAAAAATATGCATAGTTGATGAAATTAATGAAATGTTTTTTAGTTATTTAATAGAATATGAAGTATGCTATTTAGTACTTTGTGAGAAAAACTACTCCAAACGTTTGGCATATTCTTATCTTGAGGACATTGCACAAGAATTCCATTCCCAATACGGTAAAAGAGTGAACACTGTTACTAGGCCTTACACATTTATAGAATTTGATACGTATATACAGAAAGCAAAAAAAACCTTCACAGATTCTAGGTCTAGAAGAAACCTGAACACTATTAATAATCAACTTCAAGATGTTCAGAGGATTATGGTTCAAAATATCGATGATGTATTACAAAGAGGGACAGTTTTATCAGGTGCGTAAAACAAAAGTCTGAGCAGTAACTCTTAGTTTATCTTGATGTAAGGTAAAATGTGGTAAGAAAGTTATACAACTGAGATAAAGCACTTGTATGGAAAAAAAAAGATTTTTGGCTGTATGGTTCATCATCAAATAATAATTATGAGAAACTCGCAAGGAAAGAAAGAATATAATTACAATTTTTTTGTTCCATGATGAAGAATTAGAAAGCCATAAAGCTTTTCTCCCAAAAAACTATATCCTGAAATAACCCCACTTTAATTTTTACCTACTTGCTTTGTAGATAATAGCTAAAATAATTTCGATAGTTAGTCCTTTATTGGATATTTGTTACCATCTTCTGAATAGATAGGGTTTTTTTTAATTGCTTGCTTCCTGTGATTTAGGGCCTCTCATAGGGCATAAAATATGATGGGCTGTTTTTATCCTGTTTACACTGCCTTCAGCTACGATCTTCATTATACCCTATTTTGTTCAAGTATTCCCTAAATGGGGGACACTTGAGTAGCCTTCTGATTATTTCAATAAGAACAGTTTCTCATTTCTTGTCTCTTCACAAAGGTTTTTTCAGGTGTATGTTTTTTATTGATCCATTTATTAATATACTCCTGCACCATAGATTTTGGTACCTCACAGCTGGTTCAGGCATTACTCGTCAGCTTTTTCTTACCCGTGATTCATGATTGTCAAGACATTCAATATAAAATCACTTCATTTTGGTCCACCTTTTTTTCAGTTGTAACGGCATTCCCAGACTAGTCTCAATATCACTTTTCGGTACAGATTGGTTGTCTCTGAGAATATTGACTGATAGAAATATGGATGTGTATTAACTGAGCAAGTAGCTGTGATGTAAATTTCTCCCGTCAAACTATATCCAGTTTCCATGCCATGTTAGGTTTAGATAAATCATAGAAATTAGTTTTTATTTCATAAGAAAATATAAATCCAGTTCTCATGAACTTCATTAAAATACTCTCTTGAAAAAACTTTTGTGCAATCCTTACCTACCAAGCCTGATACGATGTTTCACTTCTCGACCTCAAATGTGTTTAAGGAATGTCAGAAACAAGTCTAACTTTACAGTGCTTCGGCACAGACCAGCAATTTTTCAAAGGGCATTTGTCTTTAATGCAATCTGTATGTACAATATATTACTAGAAGAGTTCAAAATATGTAATTTTAATAAACTCAAATATTAAATGAAAACATTTTCATTTTCTCGACTCTAAAACTCTATAACCTTTCTACATAACATACTACAGTTTTTTCTAAATTTTAATATGTATACGACAGAAAGACTTCGGTCGATAACTTGTTGAGCAAAATTGTATTTTTTTTTAAGGACAAAATACAAGCACTACAGAAAAATCCTTAAGGCACTCTATGAGCGGTGCCTGTGCGAAAGTAGTGATTCACATTGGATTTGAATCGCTGGATATTAAATCCATTTGGAAAAACGTTTTCAGGAAGTTTGTTCCACATAAACGCAGTTCTCCAAATGAAAGAGTTCTGAAACAGTAAAGTTTGAGGTGTACTGTTGTTGATGAACTGTAATTATTATTATTTCATAATTATTATTTCATGTATATGCTTTCAATTAATGAAACAATTCTATGCATGGAAACATACAACCTCTCCCATATTTATATATTATCCCTGATAATGCGAAAATGTACTTTAATTTACTTATTTGATTCATTTCAAATTTCTGTTGGGCGTAATTCCTCTGGTGGTTAAGTAGGATAGCTTCAGATAGACTTCACCATCAGTCTCATCGAAAGGTAGTACTAAAACCTTTGGCATAGAATAATTCCAAAACAAGCAGTGTTCTCAAACACCATAACTGCAATATTCTCAATGCACGTTTCGCCAACCAAGTTGACTACTTCAGGAAATAAGTAGTTTCCTGAAACGTGCGCCAAGAAGAGTGTAGCAATTCTGGTATTTGGGAACATTGCTTGCTTTTTATCAGACTTATTTCTGTATTGTTTCTTATCTTTCATAAAAAAATTTTTGTTATTGTAAGTATAATAAACTGAATTTGGAGTTTCTCGAGTCTGTAGCTATAACTAACAATAGTTCAATATATATTAAATGTATGTATATTTGCTATAGACACAAGTACACTTTTTGATGAATTTATACAATCTTACCCATCACTGATTCAGCAGTACCCTTCCTATTAATAATAATAATAACTTTTTCTACACCCGTACTCTAACAATACACTTATATGACCATAATCCGTTTCATAACAATATCCAAAATGATACAGATTTTTCATAACGATACAGATTATCAACCAATAGAAACCCATAATTTTTCAATCAAGAATCCTGTTCCTTTGTTTGTCCTAGATTCTAACCTTTTATTTGTCAAAATCAGTTTTCATATTACCTACCTATATTATCAAAATGTCTGAAAACAGCAATATAGAATCGACTCCAATATTTTTAAAAGATCAGATTAATTGCAGTTGTTATATTCAATATAAATATAATTAGAATCTTTATAGTTTTCATATATCCATGATAATACCATTAAGTTTGTGTTTTTTAAAAAAAATATGAGTTAATTACTGTAAATGTGTTCAATACAAATATAATATTTATTGTTTTTCATTATTTATCGGGTTTACAAAATATAGCGTATGCAACTCTCATGTAATGGTTATTAATACACTCGCATATACCATACAAAACTCGCCTTCGGCTCGTTTCGTATCCCGGTTAATGCTCGTGTCTTAATAACTATCATTACATGATCGTTGCATAATATACTATTATTCGTCATTTCGATCATTTGCATGATATAAGACATTAATAACAAATTCTTTTTTTTTACAGAATTGGATACAAAAACTCAAAATTTGTCGATGTTAACTGAAAAGTATAAAAAAGATGCCACTTACCTGAACACCAAATCGATGTATGTCAAAGCCGCAGTAGGGGGAATAGTTTTTCTGGTATTTATTTTTTATTTCTGGATATTGTAAAGTGTCTTAACAGCAATTCTACAAGATGTACATCCAGTTCCAAATTGATATTCAGGAAAACAAAATAGTACCATGAAAATTCATTAAAATTTTCATTTGATGCTGTCACGGCTGAATAGGTCATTGCAGAATACAATTATGCTTGTTAAGAAGTTCATAAGTTTGTAGATAGGATACAAAAATTTTAATTGTTTGTTTCTGTTATGATACCTTGAAGGTAAAAAATGGAAGGTACAAAATAACAACTAACTAGTGGTACAATCAAAGCTATACCAAAATATGAATTATATGCCCTCTGCATTTACTATACGCCTTTCTCTGGAACATTTACACAATTCGATATAAGTTTTTGCAGTTGTTTATTTGCTTCCGAACAAAAAAGTTTGTTCAATTTATTCATTCCTTCAAGTTGAATGTATTTGAGTTTAAAATCAATAAATCTGCAAAGATACTAAGGCAAACATACATAAGTATATTATGGAAACACTGATTGTCATTATTCTGGTTGTGACACTTTTTTGGGGACCTCCTTTTAGTTATATATTCTAATATTGATATGGTGTATTGCGTTCATAGTGTTGGTCTTTAAATGGTTTTTACACTCACTGAAGCAGGAGTGTATTGTATTTAAATTGCATCAAATGATTTTGTAAATATATAAAATAAATTTATTTATATTTTTCTTCTTTCATTTCCTTTCAATGCATTTGAAAACTATTTGAATGATTGAATTTTATACACAGTTTTCAAAATCTAAAATTCACTCTTGACCGAAACTGTGATAGCTCTAATTCCTTTTGACACAAGTCAAAAAAGGAAGCTAAGTATTATTATTTTTTTCAATTTTTAGTCAAAATTTATGAATACAAGTTACTGACTATTTGGACTTTTCAGTGGTTTATACTGCGCAGTAATTTTCTGTTTGCCCTTTTTACGCTTCAGCAGATTCTCTATTGATTTTGCTTTTATTTTTCAGATTGTGGAAGGTTATAAACCCAAAAAAATTGTAGAAAGTATTGAGTCCTCCTCAAAAAAATGTCTTTCAAAGAGAGTTGAAATTTTTTGTGAATTGAAGTTTTTCACTGTAACTTTCTGCACTTGTTACTCCTATCACAAATGATTTTCGAATAATTAAGATTATGTCTACCTGATCTAGTTTTGATCTTTTCAGTTAACCATTTATCAGTTAACATTTTTTTCTATTTAGAAAAAATGTACGATCAAAAAGTATTTTACGAATTGCCACTAAATATTTCACCTATTTATTCACAACAGTTCTCCAATGAACCAATAATTATGCTCAAATTCACTATTCGTTGTCAACTAATGCTCATTATAGTAGATCAGAGAGACTTAATCCATAATAAGAAAGACACTTGTCATGAATCAAATAATTTAAGATTTTTCAAAGAGAGCCCCTTTTCACATTTTCAGAAAACTAACCTTCAATAATAAACACCATAAGTAGGTCGTTTCTTTCCAAGAAACGGGAATACTAGGTTTTTCATAACATGAGAATTTAAGAAAAAAATATATATACATATAATTCAACAAATAAAAATATTCAATTCTTGTACAAAATCCACATTAATATAATAAACATATTCATAAAGCTGTAGCCCTAAATATTATTACCTAAAAATATTTCCAACAATCCTAGTCATTTTGAAATTCCAGATACTCAATTATACTTAAGTTATACCTTGTTTAGGTAAATATTCTACATTTGTGAAATTCAGTATTGGATATGACTGGAACACTGTTTTTTTTTTCAAATATTTTTCATATATTTTCATCACTATACCTCACTTGTATATGTGTGAGTTCATATGATGATACATTTTTTTCTGGCTTCCCCCATAAAAACCTTGCTATTTGATTCAGTTTTGCTCATTCTGAATCAATTTCGTCATCTGAATACTCTGATGTGAAAAGAAAATTTTTCGATGTTTTATATAAATTTTCATTAGATTCCGCTTTGCTAACGATACTATCCACCACTTCTTTTCCAGACTTCAGTTTCCCGTCGGCTTTCGTGTGTTCCTCTTCATCATCTGAAAACATTTGAAATAGTATTTCTATGATGGTGTGTTACAATGCAACTGAATCGAAAACAGATTGGGGGTGAATATTCGCGTCAGCCAAATTCGAAAGACCTCAGAAACAGATCCGATTTTGATTTATTTTAGGTGGATCAAACTGCTAACAGATTCAACTTGATTGAATGTTGAAAATTTTCCTTGAAAGTAGTGGTAAACATAACAGAAATTAATGTTCAAAACCTGACAACTTGATTTCCTGTTATACAATTAATTATGTAATATTGCCAAAAAAATTCTAACAAAAACAATAAGGGTATTCGAGATACGAAAAAATGTAATTGAAATTTCATTGCAGCCATTACAAAATTACTCAAATTGGGAATAAATATGTACACATACATGAAAGTGGTCTGATAAATCTGATTACTGAATTTTTAATAAAGTAAAAATCTATTTTCTGTATAACTATATATATAAAATTAAATTAAAATAAAACATTCTGCTACTCTTACTAGACCCAGTTGTACAAGCTTGTACTAGCATTTCTACCGACATTTATTAATTCAAATATGTCTTCATTATCATTTCTAACAAACCCAAATTTCGAATAACCCAAGAAAAAATTATGATTTCCAACTTCAAACCAAAACGCCACAAAATTCCAATGTACATTTCAGAGTTAGGTTACGTTCCTATATCGAATTTAGTTTAAAACTGTGACTGTATAACTGGGCATTGCTAGCAGTGCAGGATTTAGGCATAAGCTACACAGGGCCCCAATTTCGAGGGTCCCCGGCCCTACCTATCCTGGCTTGCAGAAAGCCACTCCTCACTGACGATTTTTCCTGACCAGTACCCCATATCAGCCATATATCCAAATAGCTCATAGGGCCTTAAGTTAAAATCCAGCACTGTTAACTATTAATTTTTTTTTTTTTGAGAGACAGTCATGAAACCTTCAGTACCCTTAGAGTGCTACTATCAAGTTGTATTCAGAAGAAATGTCAATCATTATTTGTAAATGTCAAATGAAATTTCGAAAATCAATATGTCATAAACTCTAGCTAAATATCTTACAAAATCGACATGACACTGCCAGGGCCTTCAAAGGTTTCGCCATTGATCAGATTTTTCCGATACACGTTCCTTATTGCTGGAATAATATATGGGGCGACAAGATATAAAGTTTTGCATTTAAAAGAAGCAAATAGAAAAGAAGAAAAGGAACGTTTGAAAGCTGAGAGAGACGCTAAAATCGCAATGGAGAAACGTATAGCTTCCGAGAAAGACATTGCCCAAATTGTTGCGATTTTTTCAGAAGAACCAAAACCCAAGTTCAAAGTGGAAGAACAAAGTTATGAAAATGCTGAAAAAGAAGATAGCAAAGCTTGCTTGCCAGGACAAAACAAAAATAAAGTTGAGCAGCTTATAAGTGATGAAGATTCCACCGCTTCTCCAGACAATCAATGCCAAATGTTTTCCAAACCTATTGATTTTAGTGATCATCCTACTATTCGTAATCCCAATTCGGAAAGAAAATATACGCTTACTCCATTACCAAGCAAAGAACCTGACAGAGATGTTGAAGCTGAAGGGAACAATGAATATTTTGTGGAAACATTCAAAAATGGGGTTCCTTATGCTGATCCTCAGAATGACCAGTATGATTTCATTCCAAAAGATAATAAATGATCGATTTAAACAAGATAAAATGCTCAGATTTTCCTCGATTACTTTCTAGAATAATTATTTGATCAGAAGTACCCAAGTGTTTATGAGATTTTTGTAAAATGTGTATCAAATATGAAGTAAAATACTAGAAATCATTTTCTATATACTTGTATTATTCATTAAGGTAATTACTATTTTTTGAGTTGTATTGGCCGCGGTGGTAGTACGCCCGACTCACGATCGGAAGGCCGTGGGTTCTATGCTTGCCTCGACCAGATATTTTTCTCGAGAGAATTTAGTTGGTTGAAGCTGGGATGATTCTGCAACCGTGTTAGGAATCACACGTTAAAAGGTATGACCTCGTTAGTCCTTAGCTCGCACAAGTTTCTCAAATTGTGAGACTTGGGGCGACAGCTGATTAACGGAAAAACAGATTCGAGAATAAGAGAGTGGTCTGAAAAATTTCCGACCTAACAAAGATACAAGACATTTTTTCAGATTTTTTTCAACATAGTCTCCTTTAAACTCTACACATTTCTCCCAGCGATGCTCCCATCTCTGTAACCCGTCCAAATAATACTTTCTCTGCAAAATAATTGTTCATGAAGGTGATTACTTCTTCATTTGATGAAAATCTCTGTCCTCCGAGCGCAATTTTTAAATGAGGGAACAAAAAGAATTCACTTTGGGCTAGATCTGGTGAGTAAGGTGGATGGTAAGAGTTCAAACTGTAATTGGTGGATTTTCGCCATGGCAACCGCTGAGGTATGAGACAGAGTGTTGTCTTCTTGGGGAGACGTAATGTTTCTCCAGACACAAGGTCACGATTTCAGGCAGGGAGATCGAATGGCAAACGCAAGTTAAGTACCTAGGTCTGTGGGTTGATCGCCGACTCGCCTGGGCAAATCACATTGATTATATCAAGAGCGAAGTGCAGTCGAGGATAGCAAAACTCTATCCTCTGATTAACAAAAACTCACAGCTCAATCTTAAAAATAAGATTCTACTATACAATACGACGTTCAAGCCTGTCATCATGTATGCTACAGGCGCCTGGGGACAAACCACTCCATCAAATATTTCCATTTTGGAAATGGAAAGAATGAATTAAGCCATCTGCAGAGATTTGAAGCTGTTAACTATACGGCAGTCCATTCAGTCGAGGAATCAGAGAGTTTTCGAGTCAGCGAAAACTCATGACAACCCATTAGTTAGGAAAGCTGTAGATTATACTATAGATAGACGACCCCTTCCGATACAGAAGGTCCTGTCGCTCGTTTGAGTGAAGGCCTCACGACGTCTGTTAAAATGAACAGTTTGTTCATCAAATACCCCAGGCAGGAAGGGGTACACAAGGCAGGACGGCATAGAGGTCATTGATTTTTATGTCGTCACCAAAAAACACCTTCAGTTATGAACCACTCGTCCTCCTGACGAAAGACAGTTGAAAGGGCAAGGAAAAAAATTTCCAACCTGAAGAAAATGAAGATGACATAACAAAGCGTGTTGTCTTGGTGAAACAGCCTTCAGCTTGTCAAGTAATGATGCGTAGTATGCTCCTGTAATGGTTTTTCCTTTTTGAAGATAATCGATTAAAGTGACTCCACGACTCTCCCGAAAAACAGTCGCCATCACTTTCCTAGCCGAAAAGACAGTTTTTGCTTTTTTTGAAGCCGGTTTCCCCTTTGCAGTCCACTGTTTGGACTGTATTTTTGTTTCGAGCGTAAAATAGTGTTTCCTCGGATTTTTTGCGCCAACAGAGCGTTGGCAATGTTCATTCGATCACGTTTTTGGTATAACGTGAGCAAACGCGGCACCCAACGCGCAGACAGCTTTCTCATGCCTGAATGTTGATTCAGTATATGACAAACACTTTTTTTTGACATGTTCATAACCTTTGCTTTCTCACTTCAATTCAGCGGTCGTCTAGCACCATTTGGTGAACTTTGGCAATGCTTTCGTCAGTAGGTGCAGTTTTTGTACTTGCCGAACGTTCATCGTCTCCCAAGCTCTTATGGCCACTTTTAAATTCATCTGCCCAAAATTTCACTGTGGTAAATGATGGTACAGAGTCCAGCGTCCAATTTTATCCATTTTCATGAAAGTACTCACTCAAACGACTGTTAGATAACAACAGCATATCCGAAATGATCCAAACTTTGGTGATGAACAACGAAATTCGCTAGCTTTTATTTACGAGTGCTGCTATAAAACTATCCTCGTTTCAGTGACCTAGTTTTGTGTTTACTATCCATCTATTATACATTTATCGATCCTCAAAAAGTCACTTTTTTGCAACTATATAACAAGTAGTTTTTGGAAGTGGTTAATATCATTATGTTTTAATGATCATAGTATTGCACTATTGAAGAAAATATCAAAGAAATTGCATATTTCTCATCAACAATTAAAAACCCTTAATACTTCTAAATGCTTTTAAAAAAACAGTGATATTGGGATGTCAAATCTTCTCTTAACATAAGTCTATGACTAGTTTAAAACAAAAACTTTTCATGGTGTGAAAAATTTATGTTAAAATACTGGGCATGTTCGCAGCATAGAATCATAAATTAGATGTAAATATTTTTTTAATTTCAGAACAGTATCAATAGACCTAAGACTGAAATTATAATGACCAAATGTTCAGACGTACATAGTTCATTCTGCTGATCACATATCTGGATAAAAACTCGTAAAAACCCTTCTTTTCACTGTCACATACTACAGAACTCTATTCATTTGTCACTTCAATTTTTATCCTTACAAAACTTGATTCATTCAAAATTGTATCTCTTTCCACAAACTACATCTTGTTAATAAAAGTAAATGACACTTTCATACGGCAAGTTCTCATTGGTTCTGTTGACTGTTACAAATTAATCAAGAAAATTAATGTTCTGTTATCAAATATACATGGGTATAAAAAATATAAGAAATTTCATTCTTTTGTAATCGAAATCTACCATCAATAATTTGAAAGATGACTGAAGAAAAAATAACGGGTACATTTTTGTAACTTTATTCTCATGCAACTGATCAGATTTATTTGCAGAAATAAACAAAATCGTATATTTACTGAATTGAGCCAAGAGGGATTTTTTAATCATTATAAGCGTAACCTTATAACAATTTCTGTAACAATTCAATAAGTAATTGTTGTTAATTCTGATAGCAGCAGCAGCAGTAAAGTGCTTTTTGTTTCCTAAGATGAAGCTAGGTAAAATTTAGCAACAAATTTTGCTGATACAAGTTTTGGACAAAACTGTAAGTCTGATAAAAAACTGTTTTGAAAAAAGCGCAAGCCATGTACTCAAATTACCTCTGTTGAATATTGAAATGAAATCAGATGAAGGCATCCTAATAGAAAGCAACAACAAGTATTTTCGATGAACCTGGGGAATTTTCATACCTGAGTCTATCACGTTGTACCCACAGTCCTGATCCTTCAACAAAACATGAATTACAGGGTGTTCGATAATAAGTTTCTTTTCTAAATTTTCACTTAGAGACAATGTCATATCTAGCTCATAAAACTTGTTAGTGCCTTTTTCTTCTGCCTTCAAAAATAGTTTGACCCCCGGTATCCCAACGGCTTGATAATAATGAAGTTTTTCGCCAAAAGTTTCATTTTCCACAGTCAAATGCTTGCTTAATATGGTGGCAAGTTTTTCAGTTTCACATACTTTGACATCTGTCACTTTCAACATGTCTGCATTAACAAATATCCATTCAATATGCCAATATATTGAATCTTGCTTGTGGAAATACGCTGTAGAATTATTTTTTCGTCTGGCAAACTTGAAAGGCAGAAACTTCAAATTGATTCTTCTTGTTCTAGCAGCATTTCGAAGTTTGAACAATGCCTAAAAATCAATTAGAAAATAGAAATTGCGATGAAAATATGGTGGCAATCTCAAATATTTCAGAGAAATGAATCGGGAGTCAAGGTTGAAATTGCCATTTTCACGGTATATCCAACTCCTGAATTCTACATTATTTAATGGGCAATCTTTTATATTGATCAACTATGTTCAGAGTGTTATTCAAAATATGTGGTTTTCCAAACGTTTCCTATAGCTCGAAAGCAGTCTTTGATTGAAATGAAATTAACAGTTATTGTTTTTGTAGGATGAAACTCTTCAAAAAAAATATTTAGAAATTGTGTTGAATTTTTCATGCGCATTTGAAAAAAGTTACAGCTACCGGACTGAGTCATGGCCGGTGGGAGACAAAGAAATTATTAGAAAAAAAGTAATAGAAACTTTTGTTTGCAATTTTACATAATACGGATTAATGTGTAAACAATAAATGGATATTAAAATGCCATTTAGGTTCTTGTAGATATATGATAATGTTTTTGTATTGAATATTTTATGTGAGTTTTCATTTGTAAAGTACTATTTGGCTTTCTACTTTCTTCAGAAGTTCACATTATTGTATAAAGATAGAGAAATAGAAAGCAAGAATCTTTTTTGCCAAAAATAAATTACACAGTTTTTGTTCAGTTTTCTGTGAATACATTTGATTCAGAAGTGGTTGTTTATTCAATGAGAAAAAGTGCCATTTATTATGTTTTATCAATTTTTTTCAAAATTGTGTCATGTACTTGGGAGCTTTAAAGTTTGTGAACTAAGTAATGTAAAAGTAAAGCAAACCATTTAGTAAAAACATAAAATACCATATTAATATACATAAGTGTAAAATCATAACAATCCTCAAAGTTTGGTTTGATTGATTGTTTAGTTTAATTGTTTTAGTTAAGGATTATGGTGTGTGATCTATGGAATGAAAGTTCATTCTTCATTCTAATATTCTAATGCACTCATAAATCTAAAAGTAAAAAAAAATTTGTTGTGTTCCATGGTTCTAAGATAAAAAGCAAAGAAAATAACATACTTCCCAACAAAATTGCTGACTGTTTGTCATATTTGATTTATTTTCAAGATAATTCCAACTATTCTGAGTCATTTATATCAAGAATTGAAAACTGATAAATTTTGTTTATTTTCCAAGTTATTAATTTTTTACCGTTTTTATTTTAAAATTAATAGGAAGAATCACACCTACAATAGTTGTTTCAAGATATACTCCTTTAAATAATTTATTACTTGGAGTGGTATAATACTCACAGGTGGTAAATCTTTCCATCTATTTCTTCCAAAGGTTTTTCTTGATGATTCAACTGATCTTGTTATTTCCTCCAATAGCCTATAATCGCTTGACAAATCCAGGTTTGTGAATTTTTTTAAAGGAATGTATTTTGTTCGATCTCGAAGTCCATTGCATTCTAGCTCCAATTTGTGAATTTTACTACATTTCAGTGAACATGTTTTCACTTCACATCTGGGGCAAGTGTATTTTGCATTTCTAGTTGCACATACTTCACAAGCACCTAACCTACAAAATAAAAAATATTAGAAATTAATAATATAATATCTTGAAAATACAACCTACTATCACTTTTTGATTTTACATCAGGAATTTCATTAGTTACTGTATCTTCCATAATTATTGACATTAATGGAAATTTCAATATAACTGACGTGACGAAATATTTGAGATTTTATGAAGTCTATGGAGGGCACAGACCACGGAGGGGCCCAATTCTGAAAATCCGAAGATCTGAGAGAACGACGAACGATATTTGAAGAAATTTACAAATTCAATGATGTTTAAATTTAAATTACCAACCTCAAAAACATATTGTTCTTCTTCTACTTTTCATGGACTTGTTGAAATATCAGATCATTGACCCAGTTTTGACAAACTCTTGTTCTTCCAAAGGCAGGAAAATTTCATTCAAACGCAAGTTCAAAATTCACTTGAAAAATATTGGTCTCTTGGCCCCCTTCCCATAAATAAAAAAACAAAAATAATTTTTAATTTACAATTCATTTTCGACTGCGACTAAATGTTGAGGGCGTTTATAATGTAAATGCCTATTCTGGTTCTCTGTCCGTACTGTCTTTAACAATCAGGAAAACTGTACATATGGTAAATCTTTTCAGTTCGCAAGTGACTAACTGAATTTGGACTATCCGAAACAATACAAACTGAGAACCAAAACAACCTTTTAAATACTCTTTCTATGAATAAAATATCCAGTGGTAGTGGCAAGCCTGTTGGATGCTGATTGTTCATCACTTCATCAGTCATGTTTTAAGAAATTGAGATAGACATTTTAATTATTGTAGGTATTTACTTTTTAATTCATAGATTGTGACTAATACTTTATTAATAGCCCACTTGATTCCGCTAACTCCAGTATGGCAGGTACTTATCACAATTCAGTGCAGCTTCACTACCGCTACTTCTATTATTAGTATTATTAGAACTACCTGATATTTGTTTTCTTTTAAGGAGATTGACAAGACTGATTACAATGTTAAAGTCTATTGTGCAGCACAAAATCTTAACTTCTTTGCCAGATGATAGACCAATAACTGCCATACAAGTGAGTTTTCAATCCATATTATTCTTGACATTGATTTTTTTTAATAAACCAATTCCAGATTGTAGAGAATTTGGAAAAATGTCCTAGAGGATTCTTTGCAATCAGCAAAACTTATGATCAAGATTCAGATGCTGATCTGAGAGAGAGCTCAATTTTTAAGAGTAGTTCAGCCAGATATCTTTGTTTATCGAAAACTGAAGGTAAATACAATTTAGTTTTTTTGCATATTTTTTGAGGGTGCTAATAATCCATAACCACTTTCTTATTTTGTTTTTCTTAGAAAGATATAAATAAAATATTATTGCAGAATGTGTTGTTCTGAAAAGTAAATCAATAGATTTAAAAAAAAATCTACAACTATTGTTGAAACTTCTTTTTAATTATATTCACATTTTTTAACAATCAAACATTATGCATATCTAATTTTAAACAACCATGGTTTTTTTAAAGGAATTCAATACCTATGTATGTCTTCCTTTAAATAATTCAACAATTATTAATTTTAAACGGTTTATGAGCTATAATTCATAAGTTAAATAAAATCAGTGAACATAATATTCCAACTGTAACACCTCGAAAAATTGATTTTCAAACAGTTTGATATATGAACCGTTTCCATATAGAGAGGATTTAGAATAGACTTCTATCAACCATCTATTGTTCCCAATGAACGCAACCCCTAAAAGTTGTGATGTGTGCCAACAAATTAATAACAATGTATTATACATTCCTAGCACAATATTTGCAAAAATACTTTACAACAATTTACGGTAATGAACACACCATCTACTTTAAAAAATTATGTAGAAAATAAAGGTATACAAGCAATCAAATACTCTTATAAGCATCATCTTTTATAAATACTGATTGGGTTAGAGGAAGAAACAGAAAACACATTTTGTTCACTAAAAGAAATATATTAATATGGCATTAAGGAAAGGATTGAAAATTATGGTATATTTCAATAGTCTCTGAGCTTTTTAAGGAAGTGTATAAGGTCTTTTTTTGTTGAGTTTATTCCCTATTAGTTATTAAAATATACCTAATGATTTGATTATAGCTACTTTGAATATAATTAAATCTATGGAAAAAATATATCACGGGAGTAAAGCTATTGAAAACACTTTTCTCTCACCAGAACATAAATGCTGTCTCTTGAAGAGCATTTCGCTGAGACTAATATTTACGGATCTAATGATGATTCATTTCATGCCAGAGGTTCCAAATTCTACTTATCAAATCATGGAAGTAGTTCAAAAATTTTCAAAAAATTACAAAAATTTGAATGAGAGTCCATGACTTTTCATTGGAAGAAAGTTTTCTGAATAACATTTTTTTAGGGCTTCTAGTATAGTATTCACTTATTCAATTCCAATTTCAACTGCGCAACTAATGAAAAAAACTTTTGCACACTTAATGGATAACATACTGTACTGTATACAAAGGCATTGCTTGCAAATAATCAGAAAAATATTTACATTTCTTCCAGGGCTACCAAATTTTGTAATACAAGAAATATTAGTTCTTGGCGACAAATCTAATCCACCACAGGGTTTCAGTTTATTAAATAAGACTGCAGATAGTGAACAAAAAGCTTGGAAGAAGAAACAGATTTGTTATAGATTAGTGAATAGAAAAGAAATCAGAACTGCTGTAACAGATATAATTATTTGTAGCCGACTGAGAAAAGCTCCTACAGGATTTTCATTTGCGGGGTAAGAACATAATTGAGATGAAAAATTTGAATGCATTTCAATCATTTGGAATCATATTCCAAATTTATCTGCAAATTGCCAAAATGGTCCATTAAAATAATAGTGTGGTTATCAGTGTGAAGCACTGTATATAGATTGAAGTGCCATAACCTACTAGCTCTATTAAATATTATTGAAGGCCTACAAACTTCAAATTTGTTTAAATGTTCAGTATATGTTGCGGTTATTGATGGTTTAAAACTTATTGGAAAGGTCAAATAGCTCGAAAAGTGGGTGCCCCACGGTTTGAACAATCGACAGATATTGTCACATTTCAAGGTATGTTCTTTGCTTTTTCACAAACAAAAAAATCCTTTTTTTGGATCGGATCACAGCAGAATCCCATTGTGAGGTTCTGAAATTGTGAGTGTTCTGAAATTTTCATCAGCAGCCGGTAGTGATCAACAGAAGGGGTCCGATCCTGCTCCGTGACAATGCCTGTCCACACGTTTCACAAATCGTCATCTGAAAATCAAACAAATTGAGCGTTGAAATTTGTTTCACCCACCATACTCTCCAAACAAATACCATCTTTTCAACCACTTTGATAACTTTCTCACCGGTAGAACCTTATGATGCACTGTTCTATCACAACCAGGCAGTAACGGCCTTCGTCGACTTCATCGAATCCCAACAACAAATATTTATGCTGTTATGTAAGCAAAAGTGCACTGGTTCAAATGGCGCTAATTTGAATTACCTTGAATAAGTATTCACTGATATATAACAATTTAAAGTATTCTCATAAAAAGGGACAAAACTCTTGAAACCACCTAATATTTGTTAACGTTATTTGTGAGCAAACTGTACCAATCTCATAAGCTGATTTCCTTTACAAGAACATTCAATTTCGAAGATTTTTGAGTTCTAAACGTTACCATTCCTTATGTACATTTTTAATTTCAAGTATCGACAATGTGTAAGATTTGAGCTAATTTCAGGACTTCTTTATTCTCTGACATTTAGTGACATTTGAATCTTAGTGAAAACATCCGATATTCATATAATTAGTATTGCGCTTGGAAGACATGCCATCAATAACAAATTTTCTTGTAGAGAAATCAACGGAGTGACAATTTGCTACAAGATGGGAAATGTTCAAGATTCTCAAGCAGACCCGAATTCCAACCCAACGCCTCCTCAACGACCTCCAAAACCCAATGCAATGTCTCCAGGAGGAGTTAATCCAATGTACCCTGCACTCTCAGATAACAACCACGACTATGAAATTCTAAGACCAGGGGGGTATCCTTCAACTCCTGTTGCTCCTGGAGGGCCCATTCGACCAGCTCCTAAACCTCCAGGTGCTGTCCCTCATCAAAACTCAACACAGACTTTGGTGATAACTTATCAAAATGGTTTGGATGGTGTGCCATTTATCATCAATCCGAAATTTCTAGCATCCAATAGTGGTGACAGGGTGAGTAGATGATTTTAGCAGTTTCATAGAGTTGAGTCTAGCGAATAAAAACCTGGGAGAAGGAAATATTGGTCCATAAAAAATCAATTATTCATAATTGAGAAAAAAATGTATTCAAAAAGACTTGGGTTGATATTCTATCCAATTTATTCCATACCTCACAATCATTTCATTATTGCACAGCATCATAACTTTTGGGAAGAGTATTTTGTATCTCAATTGAAAAAGTATTTAATGAATTGAATTAAAAATACAGGATTTATATAGCCAGAATCATCCTCTAAATATTTTTATATTAATTATGAAAAATTTCGCATTTGACAGTTTGGCTATGTTGATTGTTCAATTATTTATATTTTAGTTTTTAATACCTATCAACAAATTCAATTTTCACTGCTAAAAATAATTACTTGTTTTTTTCTTGTTTGGTATTTCATTATTTTGTTAAATTTGTATCTTTAGTTAATTCAGTTAATCCCTATTCATAAACATCTAATGTTTCTTGGGATGATGAAGACAATAATAATAATCCAACAGTGCAAAAGGAACTATTTCAATTCCGTCATCAGGCCGTTGGCTGCATGTATTTGTCAGTTTAAAAAATGTAAAGTAAATATAGGAAGTGATATGCAAAATCTTAACAAATGAGTACAATCATGAAAATAGAACTATAGTGATACAAATTATTGATACAACTGATACTGATTAGAAGATGTAAGCTGATAAAATGTATTCAATATTAAAAATAAATTGTGACCGACATATTGAAACACAGAACCATCATCATTTAAGGAAATTCCATTCGGATTATGTCTAAAGCTTGATGTTGTCCAACCAATCAATAGCTAAATAATTCATATATCTAACACCAAAACAAATTTGCCAAAAAAGGTCCAAGAAATGAGGCAGGAAGTAAATAATGTAGGTAAATTGCCTGCACATATTACCCACAATACAACTGAAGTGGAAAAAGAATATTTTTTCTGCAATCAATCAAATATACTTTATTGTCTGAAGAACTACATCTTGTAGACAAAGTCATAAATAATATGTAAGATACAAAAATCTACATAAAAAAAACATACAACAATTTAAACAAAATACAATAAACATAAGCTAAAAATGTGAAATACACTGAGGTATTCAGCTGGAAATAACAAGACATAGAAATAAAAGTTAAGATTCAAGTGAATCGTCAAGATACTCCTGAACTGAATAAGGCCCTATCAACAAGAAGCATTTTAACTGCTTTTTTGAATTTGTTAAGCACTATAATTTCTTTAATTCGGGCTGGTAAGTGGTTAAACAGTTGATCCCGTTGAATATAATTGAATCCCTAACAAGGGAGCTCGCAGGAATAGGCAGATCTATGTTACTATTGTGGCTACGAGTATTATATGAGGAAGGGGGAGATGCCCAAGAATAAATTTTTTTTATCAAGCAAATTGATTCCAAGATAAACAGGGCAGCTACTGTTAAAAACCGTGAGCTATGAAAAGAGGCTTGCATGGATCCCTGGGAGCTGCTTTGCACATATATCGGACAGCCCTTTTTTGGAGCACAAAAATCATTTGAAATAAATCTCTAGAACAGACTCCCCAGAAGGCAATTCCATATTTAATATGGGGAACTATTAGAGCGAAATAAGCTGTTCTTGAATGGGAGTAGCCTAGTTCTCTAGAAATCACTCTTAGTGCATAGCAACCTGAGGCAAGCTTCTTGCTTAAGTTTATTGTGTGATTTTTAAATTTCAGTTTATCATCAATGTTCAACCGTAGAAATTTATAATTATGTACCCTGTCTAAGATTTTGTCACCAAGGCAGATCTCAGGTAAGAAAGAAGTAAATCTAAATATTAATTTCAACAATGTACAAAATCTACAATTTTAATTCAAGCCCAAATGCTGTCCCAATAATCAGGTTGCATTTGACTTTTTATGAAATTATATCAGACATAGTTACTTTTGTTAAAAAAAATCTTTTTCAATTATGTTTGACATGAACATTTCAGGTAAGGCTTTAGGTTTCAAGTTGGAGTATGTTTGTCTTCATTTTTTCAAATTTAAAAAAAGCAAAAATGATTTGTTTGTGATAATTGTTAATTGGTAGAATATATATAAAATGATTCAGTTTCCATATCACTTCGAAGTTTTTCATTTAACATATATTCAATAGGAGATCTGGTACGAACTGTAATATTGGGCATTGGTATCGTGTATGGTTGAACTGTTTCCAAAAACCCTACTTCAAATGACATATTTCAGACTTAATTCACACAAGACACAAAAAAGTCAAGCCAAACAAAGTCTTTCAATAATAATGATTTAAATTATTCTCGAGATTACTTGTATTCTCTATCAACTATATTTTTGTTAGTGTACTACTTTGGCCAAGAATACAAATGTATAGTACAAATTACATATAAAAAATCCATCAATGAGCAGACTAGTTTTATCATTTTTGAAAAGATAAGGTAAATGTTGGGGATATGACGCCAATGATAATGCTGCTAATGGTGGGTTCCACTACCGGCCGTTAGGTGACTGACCATGTTGTTGATTAATGATTATATGTTTACAATCCCATGTTAGCTTTTTTGTAATTAGGCTGTCTAACAATTTGGGTAATTCTGAATCATTACAGGCTGCTCGATAATTTTTTATATCATGTGATCCACTTTTATAAATAGGTTTCAAAAAACTTCTTTTCCAATAATCTGGAAAGACCGACGATTTCAAGGAAATATTGAATATCACGTGAATTGGTTTGACCAGGATAAAAATACATTTTTTGATTAGGAATAGCGGAATTCCATCAGGACCTGTAGTCAGTTTCCCAGGTAATGACATGACTAGATCAATTATTTATTTAATATTTAATAATGGGGATTTTTTGGCGGGTGATATGATACGCGTCATTGGGTTTTTAATTGACATCACATTATTTTCTTCCATTTCAGTGATGGTTAAATTGATTAATGGTTTCAGAAATGCCAAAATATATTAGCAAAGGGTTCACAGGGGCTTCTTTGAATGGCTTCTCAATTCGGACGGCTGTTGAATCTGATTATAATCCAGAAAAAACACTTCGGAATCATCTGAAAAAGAATTATTTCAAACTGAACAATCCGCCGCGATTCGTTATCGTTGCTAAAGGAAATGTATCAGTATCACCATTCCCTTGAACGAGGTGAATCCATAACCGTAGTTGCATGTTGCGATGCAGAAGTCTTGTTTATGTCACCTTTCATCATTTTCAAGGGCATAAACAAGCAAGCGGCATGATTGGACGATCTTCCAAACGGAAGTGAATTGTTGATGTCTTGTAAATCCGCATATATAACTGAAGAAATCTTCCTTAATTGGCTCATACATTGATTTATTCCAAAAAAGTCGTCAAGTCCATGACTCCTGTTTAGGACTGCCAGTATTGCCCATAAAATTTTGTTATAGCCTTTACATTTCTTCGACTGAATACTTATAGAATTTTTTTCATCCTTGGTTGAAATTAGAATATTTTCCTTTCGAATCCAGATGTAATTGTATGACTCCTTAGGCATAAATATTACAGAGCTTTAGGTGAAACATTCTGATGAAATGACTTGGCATATCCCCACCCTACTTAGGGATATACCGCAAAAGCAGCCTCCTTAGTTTTGTATAAATATGGAATTCAATGAATTGTAAGTAATTCCTAAGTAGCATTCACAATGTAGAATTGAGTTATCCAATAATTGTTTTGTAAAATGTTTTCAAACCTTGCGTCATATCTCCAGCGTTTACCTTATCACAGTTTTTAACATATTCATCACACATTTCTTTTTAGTTTCAGTTTCCAAGAATAAAAGCAAGGACAATGCAACAAATTTTGAAGGATTACGATTACCCCTTCACAGTTGAAAGGCAAACTTGAATTTTCACAAGTGCCTTTTCTAGTGAACTGAACTGAATTCGTAAAAAGTTTTATATCCATTTCGATCATACACATTGTGCTATCTTAATTCGTAAAGGTAGAAATTTAAGCCCATTTTATGATATGTTATATGAAACAAATTAAATCGACTATTTTTATGTTAGTGATTATATTAGAGAGTAAGTTATTTACTGCATCACGAAACTTTACAACACTGTAGTTAACAAAAGAGCCTTAATGACTATAACTTGCAGTGTATATGAAAATTCACCTATCCAATAAGTATCTTATCTTTCATTGCCATTTTTAATTGCAAGTCATTGTCATTTTTATCAACATGTGACTGCTACCAAGGCAGATTAGTTACATTTTTATAAAGCGAAATATATTATTTTATTGAGATAATTGATCGAAATCTTGAGTTAGAGTGGAAAAAAACGTGTGGTTTTAATCGAAATTTGTAGAGCAACTATTGATTAATATTTCAAATTGGAATTCTGGACAAGCCACTTTTGAACTCAATACCAAAATGTTAGCTCACTATTTTTTCTACCTTTCTGGCCTTTCCTGGTATTCCAGATAATATCACAGAATTTGGTGTTTATCATAAGTGATATATATGTATTAGAGATTTGATTATATTGTTAGTGAAGTTGCCAATATTTTATAATCTAATAGTAGTTATTTTGTTAATAAACAGTAATTAATTGAGGTTTTTCTTTATTGATTCACCTTATGTTGGTTTTAGCATAAAGGAAATTTATGATGTGAATACTTAATGAAAAAATGAAATCTAATTTCTACAAATACCTCAAATTTCAATATAAATAGGAAAAGGTGCAAGAACACATTGTGGTTCCTTAGAAACGTTTTCATGGAACTCTCGTGATTTTCTCTCATATAAAGGATTTGTGAACCCATTTTCTGAATGCCAAATTTAAAGATAAGAGGCACCTCTATGATTTTTGCAATTGTTTCTGTATTTCAAGATTTTTCGGAAATTTTGCTGACAACCATATAAAAGATTGATGTTTCCACCTCATTCTTTAAAAAGTTTCTTATCACTATGAACAGGTGTTACACTTGATTTTTGTGCACTGATGTTGATTATTTGATTAGTTTTGAGTTATTTATTTATTTTCTTGATCTTATTACCGTTGAATTGTTGTTATGGTGTTGTTGAAAAGAAAGAGTTTTTTTTTGTAAAACTTGTCATTGTCAATAAAATAATTGTTTTGACGAAAATTGGATATTTTTTGGCACGAAAGTTTGATACGAAATAACATTGGTGACCCCGACGTGATCGCGAAATGAAGGAACGAAAATTAAGCCAAAGACGCACCGCTGGTTTGAATAAAAGCCTGTCAACGGATTATATTTGGCCACAGAGATTCGATGTTCCGCTCAGATTTGATGTAAGAACAGCAGTGATTTATCCCCTCATAAGTGCATCTGAAAAAATACTACCAGCTGAGTCTTCAAAATCCAGGGAAAATATCGAAATGCCTGACCCTAATCAAGTTGTGATAGAAAGTGACAAGGTCTCCAAGAAATTGACTAAATCTATGGAATACGTTCTACCACGACTAGACCAACAAACAAATCCAAACATAGTATTGCAAGATTGGAGAGAAAGAGAAATGCAATTGAAATGGAAAAACGAAGACAAGAATTACAACTAGAGAGCAGACGAATCGAGTATGAGCTAGAAAAGAAAAAACGGCATATAGAGAACAATTTACGCCTTCTAAAAATGCAAGAATACCTTCAAAATGCAGAGTTAAAAAGTATTGATGAAACCAACTTTCATGAAGATTCACGAACAAACCTGAGTGAAATATCAAAACACAAGGAAGTAGTAAAATGGATAAATGACATTCCAGATGGATTTGATCAAACAGACACTCTTACTGTTCCGGAAACTGTTAACTCCAATAATAACAAAGATATACAATTACTTTGTGAAACTATCACTAATGTCTTAAGGAATGTTATCAAGCTACTCCATGTATAAGTAATCAAGTTGAAACAGAAAAGTGGCAGAAGAGACAATTGATGGAAAAGAACTTTCCATATTTTGACGGAAATCCCCAGGAATGGCCGCTATTTCATAAGCAACTTACTAATTTACGAAAATACGGCGGTTATTCAAACGAAAACATCATTTTGGAACTACAGCGACATCTCAAAGGTGAATCAGTCTTTGGTTGCTGGAATGTTACTGACTGCTGATAATGTAGACTTAGTAATCCATACTCTACAAAGAAGATTTGGCAGTTCAGAATTTGTTATTGAAACCATCATTACGAAAATAAAATGTATGCCATTCATCAGAGATAACAATTTGGAAAAGCTAATACTATTCTCAGCAGAAGTAAATAACATGGTATCCATTATGGAGACCCTAGAATCCAAGGGACATTTGCAGAATCCTCAGTTAATCAAAGAACTACTCACCAAACTTCCTGAATTACTGAAATTGAATTGGGGAGAAATTGTTTAGTCTAAAAAGGGTGATGTGACTCTAGAAGATTTCTCTTCATGGTTGGAAACTATTTCTAATGCAGCTTGTTATGTTAGTTCACCTTGTAAATACTCCAAATTTGAACAAAAATCATATGAAGGTAGAAAACATGAAAGACTTCTCAGTACTTCCGAAATGAAAAATAAGAAATGCAACTACTGTGACAAGAAATGTCATGATAACTTTTGTCCACAGAAATGTTCAGTTTGTATTGTAAAACTAAATAATTATTCTTGTGCAACCGGTGTTGAATCTGTTATTGCTCACTTAACAACTAACTTACGTCACATAAAGAATATGATTTCCGTTTTGGTTTTATTTTCTTTGCACGTTGCATACAGACAATATTCAATAAGAAATGACGGTTGTCATTTTTCAACCTTTTTTTGGTTGGGATGTGTCAAATAATGAAATAATATATACCTAGTTTCAAAAACTTCATTTATAAGAATAAGATCAAAAAAATGATATCAAAAATATCCCCTTTCATAATGTCGGTCCACAAAGACCCCTAGATACATATCGGACCTCAAAAACCGTACCGCTTGTTTATAAAATCTGAGAATAAATCGCAAATTTTTTCATCTGATTATACGAAGTAAAGTTCATTACTTTTGAAATTAACATTTATCATTGTTATGAATTAGTTCATATGAAATAATTTAATTTTAACCCAGTAAACCACGCGCTTTATTATAAAGCCATACATAAATAAAAATCTAGTAGGTGGTAGAAAAACTGGCCTCATTTCCATAATCATTAATAATAAATCAGATTTCGTGTAGAAACTATTTTCACCTGAAATGATTTATTTTATAAATATATACTATCCCTCCGATTATCAACTAAATCAACCGCCACTGTTTTATGGTCCAACTTACTTCCCATAAACAAACAAAGTTATGCTGCCTTCAATGTAAGGATGGAAAAGGCCTCTCTATTGTATTTTGTTACTCTGAGGGTTTATTAATTTTCATAGTTTCTTTGATGAACGTGTTTATGGTTAATAAGTGTTCCACTTTCGTTTCTTCCCTTTAATGTTCTGTTTAATGTTCAACTTCATCTTCCTTTTGATACTTCGATAATTGATGAATCTTGTTCTATATGCTCTTGACTATGTTTTTCTTTCTCTAAAAAAAAACAATGTTCACTTTGATGAACATTGACAAAGCTTTTTTTGAAAGTTTTTCTTTGGACAATAAAGTATATTTATTATTATTTATCACTTATTGTATATTTTTTACAACGATTCGGTAGGTATCACATGGGAGTGTCCACCATATTAGGGGCCGTCCATTAATCGGGTGATGTTTTTTAGCATTCATTAACCACCCATTCCCTTTGGCGATATGTGATGGGGTTTAAGACTAAACCCCCCTCCCACGCAAAAAAACGTGTACCTTTTAATACCTATAAAGAATCTTAAATTCTTATACTCTGCAAATAGGTGAGTCAAAGTCACATTATACGCAGCTTTTCGGTTTAGAAATCGCGCGTTTCACGAAAAAATGAATACACTTCCTTCCCCCTTGTGATATTTCGTGATTTTTGATAAACCCCCTCCCCTCGCGTCACTTGATTAATGGACGGCCCTTATGCAGCCACAAATGTCAATCAAAATGATGACATTGCGTAATCCCCCTTGTTCTAGTAACCCTAGATTAGCCTTCTTGTGATGTTATATCACAAGTAGAGCTTTTAGCTTTGTATATAGACTAATAAATATTACTGGAGTTTTTTCACAACACCAAATCGTTATTTTTAACATCTCTGTTAATTGAGGTGTTAAAAATAACGATTTGGTGTTGTGAAAAAACTCCAGCAATATTCATTACACCAAAGGTTCCAAACAGTGCATCATAAGTATAGACTAGTCTATATACAAAGGTTTTAGCATTATACATGTGGCCATAGCGTACATACAGTGTTACCACAGTATTTCTGTATATACAAAATACTGTGGTGTTACCATTTCTTCCAAAACAATGAGAAGTTTGATTGTGAAATGGACGATTCCAGTACTTTATTCAGTGTTACCACTATAAAATTTTCGGGTCTAAATCGACTGACATTTTCTATGCCTTTTTTGGAATAATTCAAAGTCGGAACAGATAGAATTTGTAATTTTATAGATTCCTGGCTGTTTCCGGAATATATGAATCGAAGTATTGAAGTCGATATGGACAACTTTATATCATGTCGATTTAGATCCGAAACTTTTATAGGGGTACTGGAATCGTCCATTGAGACATTTGATAATTTTCGATTGGCAACACTAACCAATTATTACCATGTCATGTCATTTAACGTTAAGTAGTTTATAGATTTACAAATCAAATCAATTGATGATTGAACAAAATTAACAATTGATAAGTAAATCCAAAAACGGCAACCGCGGGTATCGAGCTGGCCTGAATTGTGCCTGATTATAAAGCAACGGCATATCGAAGGAAAGTATTAGTTCTACTTTTAAATATTTTGTGGGCTTTGAGATGGGTTCACATAAAGAAAATAAAAAACACAGAAAAGAATCTAGCTCTTCTGAAAGCGAATCCTCCTCATCTGAAGAGGAAAGAACCAGTAAGAGAAAATGTTCCAAAAGGTTTAAACAGTCTAGTTCTGAAGAAAGTGATGAGACTGAAAAGAGAAGTCATAAGTCAAGCTGTCAGATAAGGTAATTCAAAATATATATGTTTTTACTATGTTCTTACTATGATATTGTTACAGAAAATCCAAGAATGAAGTTTTGGAAAGAACCCGTCACAGAGAAAAGATTCATTCTGAAGAGTTACGAGGTAAGTACATAGAAAGAAAAGAAGTTACGGATGATGTCAGAAATAGGAGTAGATCTAGGGATAGAGATGGTACAAGACAACGAAGGGGAGATTACCACAAACATGAAGATAGAGAAAGGAAGAGTAATAACAAAAGAGACAAACACAGTGAAACAAGAGAGAGAAATGATGATAACAGAAGTAAAAGAGAGTATAATAGAGAAAAACATGAAGATAGATATAAAAATAAAGAATTTGCTGATAGGAGGAATGATAAATGGAGTAATGAGAACTACAGAAGAGAACCAGATGGAAGAAATGGAAGGAATGAAAAAAGGTAAATTGTATAATGGTAGCATGACATGCAATGACCGATTTTAAAGTTGCTGTACCTACAAAACTATTATTTTTTTTGCCCTGATATATTCATTATTTAGGTTCAAGCTTTATTTTTTACATTTTACTTATGATGCACTGTTCGGAACCTTTGGTGTAGTAATGAATATTACTGGATTTTTTTTTTTTCTTCCTCTTTGAAGATGATCACTTGATGATTGAAACACGTGTCGAGGTGTTAAAAATAACGATTTGGTGTTGGGAAAAAAAAAACTAGTAATATTTTTTTACATTTTACTTCAATAATGAGTATCAAACATTATTGAATTGGTAATTAGACAGCATTTTTTAAAAAAATGATGCATGACTATAGACTTGAATTTATGGTGTTTTTATTAAAAACAAATATATTTCCCAATATTGACTTAGAAGTTGGGAAACTATTAATTATATGTCAGTGTTATTTACCCTCGATATATAATTGCAGAATGCCAATATCAACGAAGAACAGGATTATGTTACAAATGTTATTGAACACTCTATCGGATAAAGCATAAGCATTCTTTTTCTTTAAAGAATTCCTCAGAACTTTTGTTGAAGTAAAAAAATGTGAAAGTGTTATATATGGATGCTTATATTGATTTGCATTGTGATAATTTTCTCAGTGTAAACGATATCGTCTTTTTGTTTGTTGATTATGAATCTGAAGTCAAAACTTGGTGCTCCATATATCTTCAGAAATACGGCCACTCAAAGGTTGAAACTGTTGAAAAATCAAGTCTTTCAAGAACCTTCTTCTATATGCTACGAATCTTTATTCGCCCATTTCAAATGTTTTCACAGAACAAAAACTTCTATTTCACCAGATCAAACTAATTTATAATCATTTTCTAATTGATGTTGTTGCTTTACTTGAAGTTCTGTTAAAATGTCATAATTATAATTTTATTCCGCTTAGCCCTAAGCTCTGCCACAAGTTCACACATTAAGTTCTATAATGTATGAAATATTCAATTAGTATATACAATTGTTAAATTGTTTGCAGCAGAAACCTTGTTTTAGGTTATGTTTAGTTTGTTACATGACAATAGCAGAACTGTGTCTGATCCCCCAATTGCGCCTGATTTGGAAGCAACAGCTAATAATGTTACAGTGACCTTAAACATATACCATGTCTCAGCTTAGCTTCGTCTCTGTTCATTTGTGCAAGTAATACAATAGGTTAATTCAGACTCCTTTTTAATTGATACACTACACACTAACAAGGAATCAGTTGAAGGGACATTCTAAATGACAAAAGGAATATGACATTCTTTAACTTTCAATAGACATAAAAAAGGAATTGCTTAGTTTATTTTTAGGGTGTTCTTGCTAATCATGGACAAGAATTGTATTAATAAATGATTAATTTTCGATAGTTCGTACCTAAAAAGCTAAATATGAAAATAAGATAGGAATTTACAGTATTTGTAATATTGTATAGCTTCAATGACACAATCTTCTGAAATCGTTATAATTACAACTCTTCATGCATATACTTAAGTTTTCATTTCCAAAAAAGTTTATTTTTCAACTTTTGAATGACCGAATATCCAAGAGTAGGCTGAAACGCCAATTTTTGACTTCAGTTTTGTGATATTTAGATGAAATTATGCGAGTTTTATCAATGTATTGTCAACAAGTAGCTTGAGCTGAAAAAAAAATTAGCATAACTTATATATTTTTTAAGGAGACGAAGAAGTGGATCTTATGATCATGCCAATGCCAAATGGGGTAAAGATGATGACAATGTCAAATCTGAGAAAAGTGATAATGAGAAGAAGGATAAGGAAAAGCCAAACTTTGGCCTTTCTGGCAAGTTGACTGAAGAAAGGAATACTTTTCGAGGAGTTGTCATCAAATACAGTGAGCCCCCAGAAGCAAGGAAGCCAAGAAGGAGGTGGCGACTCTATCCCTTTAAAGGAGAAAAAGCTTTGCAGACTCTGTACATACACAGGGAAAGTGCTTATCTCATAGGCAGAGAAAGAAAAGTTGTCGATCTACCTGTTGATCATCCATCTTGCTCAAAACAACATGCAGCACTTCAGTACAGACTAGTACCATTCACTAGGGAAGACGGGTCAGTAGGTAAGATTGTTGAAAAAAATAATTTCTTTTGCATTGTAACATTTTCCCGAAGGAAAACAATTTGCATGCCCGTGAATTTTAAAATGGAGGGTGGGGTGGTTTGAGGGTTGAAAATTGATAATTAGGCTGTTCCCACCCACAAAAATATTTTTTGGATGATTTTTTTATTTTTTTTTTCATTAGGCCTCAAATCTGAAACACTATATAAATAATTTATATGGCAGAACAACACTAAAGGTTCAGATATCTTTTTATTTATATGGCTCGATGACGGTTATATCTGAACAATAGATTCAAATGAAGAAATAATACATGAAAATTACTATTATTTCGGAGAAATTCTGCTCCACTTTTGATAAATGCCAAATTAGACATTGAAAACAAATTAAAAGCAGTGTTAGCTTGCAGTTCTGGGATATATTACATGAGAGCATATCCACTGCAAGATGCATCGAATACTTCTACCAGGCAGCTTCCTTCCCATAATACTTTGTTACTTTCATGTTCACCAAAATGGAGATGAAATTAACATCTATCCCCGTGTAAAAAACATAGAAAGTGGCGTAACACCAAATTATTTCTTCATAATATCAAATAAGCAATTATGATTTAAATAAAAAATGTAATTTTATTACGTTTACACGCCATAGTCATCTCTACAACAACAGCACTGAGCTGTGGCATTCGACTCAGTGCCTCAGCACTGAGGTGATGGGTGCTCAGAAACAAAACTCAGTTGAAAAGAAGAATTGGAACCTCTGGTATAGAATTAATCCAATTCAAGCACTTTTCTCAAACACCAAAACTGTAAAATTCTTCTCAACACACGTTTCACCAATCAAAATTTCCTCTTTAGGAGATGAAATAATCGGTAATTGTTATCACAGTAGCTACTCAAGGTTTTAATAACAATGGATAAAGAATATCTGAATAATTTCGACAAAATGATAGACTGAGTTTGAGAAAACAAATATTTGATTCATATGATTTATTTAAAAATCTTCTTTTTACAGGAAAACGGGTTCGTCCTTATCTTATCGATCTCGAGTCCGCTAATGGAACCTTCATCAACAATAAAAAAATAGAACCCAAAAGATATGTGGAGTTATTCGAGAGGGATGTTGTAAAATTTGGATTCAGCTCGCGAGAGTATGTTTTGCTGCATGAAAACAGCAAAGATGAAGCCATGGATGATGATGTTAAACAAGAGGAGGAGGAGGAGGAAGTCAAGGTGAAGATAGAGCAGAAAGAGTAATGTGTACATTATTAGAGTTTAGTTTTTTATTGTCAAATAGTTATGATTAATAAATTAATTTAAGCAATTTTGTACATATTTGAATAGAACCATAAAGGAGGTCCGATGTTGATCTTTGCATTTGGAAATTGTATTCATGATTGCTCAACAATCATCCCAAACACATATGAATTTATGGCTTTCTTACTGATGGTCAAGCAACTATCCTGAAGTTTTTTGAAAATTATTTATGCCTTTTTCAAATATGACAGTGATATATCTCCAAAAAATAGCATATAAGTCAGCTTCTACAATGGATAACATATTTTTTTATGAATGACTTGAAAAGTTTTTTTCACATTTCTTCAAGCACAGTTCATGTGCTGGAACTGTCATGTGACAGTTCATGGTCAATGTCAACAACTGAATTACTGAAAAATCCTATTTTTGCAAACCCATTGGCATGACGACATATTTATTGTTATTGTTTGATTGTATGAAAAGAAAAGTAAAACAATTCATCTCGTCTTTCTGGCTGTATTTCAAAATATTGAAGCTAGCAATAAAGCAAATGGAGGTTCCATGAAAATATAAATATTCTCAAATTCCCAATAATTCAAATTTCCATACTCAGGAGAACGATAAGAATCTTCTGTGACTTGTCAAAAGCGGTGTCAATGGTCAACTTATGGAAATTTAAACTATTACTGGAGTTTTTTCCCTAACACCAAACCGTTATTTTAACACCTCAACACTTGTTTCGATCACCAAGTGATCATCTTCAAGAGAAAGATCAAACTAATCCTACTTACAAAGCTATCCTTATTTATAACATAGATACCTGTTCTAGGTATTAAATTAATTTGACAATATTGCCTTATCTACTAGTCTTGAATTAATTTTACAATGTGTCCTTATGTAACAGTTAGGTGAATCTAATAATTAAAATATTATAAGCTATATAAGTTAACTATTAAGATTAGTTAGACAAGTTAACAATAACAGGCATCTAGATGCCTATGAGAGTGTAGAACAAAGTAAACATAATAATATGAATAACGATGGTAGACCAATACTTAATAGTATACTATATAGCTTGTTAAAATAATATTGTATTTGTTATTCATGTGTGGCTCATGCTTACCAACTCTCACAAAGTATTTGTGAAATGATATACATATGTCAAACATCAATTTTGTCTGGAGTAATTGATTCAACAAAAAGCTTTTTGGCTTTCTATTTCTCTTTTCTTTGGAAGTTCCCACATTTTTTGTTTAGTTGGGGAGAAATCTTTCTGACAAATTCTTTTTTCAGTTTAATTCAATTTTTTTCACATCTTGATTGATTTGACCGATACTGGATGGATGTCTATAATTACTAGGAATTAAATGAAACAACACTTGTCTCTTAGATATCCACAATATATTACTACTTGTAATATGTGACGCGTTTTGCTATTCCTATAGCTTTCTCAAACAAAAATGTATTCAGTAAATGTATAGACATATTTATAGCAGTTTGAAATAAGGTAAATAGTAGAAGGTGTTTATCTTAAATGGGTAGCCTAATAATAAACAGGTACAGCAAGCGCCAAACGTGATGGCGCGGGTGCGCCATCACGTTTGCGCACACAAACTCATTTTCAATGTAACCCCCACTACAGATCTTGCAAGACATACAAAAGCTCTGTACAGAGGCATATCATTACTTGTCCTCTAATGCTGTTGACGTTTGGCATTGTCTGAATAATTTGTGTTGCCTAACAAAAAACCAGTCATGATTGTGTTTCTTGATGAAACATAAATTCATAGTGGACATACATCTTCCAAGAACTGGACAGATGAATCAACCAAAAGGTATAAGTCAACAATTGTATAAAGCCCATTCATGGGCTTTATCTAATTTATACCTAATTAGGTATAAATTAGCCCATGCATGGGCTTTATACCTAATTGCCCACTTATATTTAAATCAGACACAACATCAGAGGATATCATTTAGGAATGAATTATGAAAATTATGGTAAATATTTACAAGAAAAGGTAATCCTAAATTTACCTGTGATTTCAGTAGTCATGCCAGATAATGCTCTATATCATAATATTAAAATTAATCCAGCCCCCAACACAAATTCTAGGAAGGCTAACATGGTGAAGTGGCTGCAGGAAAAAAGCATTATGTTCACCCCTGACATGCTCAAACTCGAATTATACGAGTTGATCAAGGTAAATAAAAAGCATCAAATTAGATACAAATTGGATGAGGTTCTGCTTCAACACGGCTACTGCCAAAAACAACGTGTCCCAAAAGAATGTAACTTTCACAAGCAGCAGTGAAGATAATTTGTATTCAGATTAAAGTTTATTTTTGGATAAGTATATCATTATATAACATTTTAATGAATTGTACTACTACCTGTAATATTAAATAAAATATGAAAAGAAATTACACAGAAATCATGTTCCATTTGCTACCCTAATTAAAACTAATTATAGTTACGACACTGGCCGGCAAGGGGCTTATCGTAATCCAATAGTAATTTAATTGGGAGTGTATACCTGCGCGATCGCTCGCCATCAGCCGTGGCATGTACTGTAGTTTACTTATTATAGTGGATATTTAAGAAAAGTGTTTTTGCATTTAATTCCTAGTTATTTATTTTTTCAAATTATATGGTTTTTGGGACCTATCGAATAATTTCGTTAAAAGTGAAAGAAAGTTAAGTGTTAACTTTTCTAGAAATTGTAGCATTACCACAACCTAATCAGGCAGATGCGAATTTAACAACTATTCACCTATTATTATAGTAAAAAAATGAATAAAAATTAAAAAAACGAAAATGAGAGAAAAGAAAAGGAGAGGTAATTAGAAAAAGGAAAGAACTTTGAAATTCTGATATGTTTGAAAACCTCAAAAAAGTTTAATTTCTCCCAAGTAAGAGAACAGTCCTGAAGATAGAAAAAATAATAGTAGAAAACAATAAGCACAATATTATTTAAGTGTTGTTTCCTTTCATTTGTATTGAATATTCCTATACATGGTGGATATGGTGGAAGACCAAGGACCTTGGTCCAAAGTAGAAAAACTCCCATTATTATTTTTATAATTACCAAAATTTATTTTTGTTTTTGCATACCCAAACGAACATAAGCATTTTGGCCAATCTTTGAATAGCTAAGTAAGAAATATAATATATTATAGTAGTAACTGATCCCTCGGCTTTCATTTTTTCGATAGTTGGGAAATGTTGCTGATGAGGTTGGGAAAATTTGAATTTCCTCCCCCCCATGGTTTTTCTTTTCGCTGCGGCCGTCTAACTCCTTTATCTAACCGGCGAAGAGTGAAAACACGCGGATCTCGAAAATGGTAAAAGTTAAATTAAAGCAAAGTTGCTTATTGTGGAGTACATAATTAAAATGTACATAAGTCTTTAATAGCCCTCTTACGTTTAGACATAAAGAAATAACAAAAAATTCTATTTTGTTTTTTTATATTTTAGGTTTCATGTTTGGATAGATTTCATTTCCAAAAACTATTCATGGCAACTTTCATTATTGAAATTAAAACTTTGTTTAGTGTGTTTCTTGGGCAATCCCAAACTTTGACTGTTTATCTACGTATCTCCGTATTTCCATTACATCTTTTGATTTGCAGACCATGTTTAATGATGTCATAGCTCGAGATTACATTTTGTAATAACATTTGTTATTATACTCAGTTTATCGAACATATTACATGTGACCACTTAGTACAAGGGTCCCGGTACAACTGTACTCGAAGTCCACTCTCTGCCATCTGGTTATATTTCTAAGGACATGCTGAATCATTTCTTCTGTCATTTAGTAAGTGTCACCTAAAAACCTATTGTAACGAATCTGAAACCGGTCCTGACCGATAAGCCAGACTCATTGAACAAACACATGATCTCACCTCAAAAGAATGCAGTCGGGAATCGCTGGTAAAATTCTAGTACCGAACCGACTACCGAATTCTAGAAAGGAGTCTTTCCGACTCAAGAGGGCAGTTCATAAAGTGAATCGAGCTGCTAAACAAGAAATTCAAATAGTGGAAATATGTTAAGCGTTAGTTGGTAAGTATTGTAATAAATAAATTAGTTTGTGATTAGTGAAAAATTTTTGGAAATACATTTGTTTGAGACAGATACTTCATTATAGAATAAAGAAAATGCTTTTGTCTAGTTTTTACTGTGTGGCAACTTACCGGTTCTACAAATTAAATAAGTCATCAATCGAACGAGTTAGATAATTCATTAATTCGCTACACTATTAATTCAATATGTGTTTTTTATCGCGAACAAAACAACTTTTAGGTTAAAATTTATTAAAGTTTCTAATATTGAAAGAAAACTGCAGCTGACTATAAACTTTTTGCAAGAAAATGAGCTATACAAGTATGAACGCTCAATGCGATCATTATTGTGCGATTTACGATTCACAACAAAAATGAGAATATTCGAATAAGCATGAACAAGCTTTTAGATGTGAAACACTTTGAAACATGACAAAATTAGATTCTAACTTAGATTCTTAATATAATCCAAGCATACCGTTCGGCTCTTAGGTTTGATGTGGTAGGTAAATGACACATTTGATTTAAATAAAGTCTTTGATTGCATCGCACCATATGTTTTTCAAAATGATAGCGGAGTTCAATATTCATGTAGTTTTTTTTAAATGATATAATTTTGTATTTGACTATGTTGAAATGTAAGTTGTTGTTCTCCCACCATTCCCAAACATGATTCAGCATGTTCTTTGAAGCAATAAACAGTCTATATTCTCAATGGATCTGAAAATTTTCAAGCTATCAGCAAAAAAACGTTTCGTCGTATAGATACCCCAAATTTGATCTATTTGGTACGCCGGAAGTAGGAGTTCTTTGCAGCATAATATGTTCATTACTGGACATAAAACTTAGGGGGTATCTGAGGGTTGAAAATTCTATATTTTGGATCTACTTGGCACAATTAAGCTACTTGGGGTAGTGCAATGTAATTGGTATGGTGAAAAATTGAAAATGTATTTTCTTATAAAGTCCAAGGCATCAATGGAAAGCTCTTAATGACCACTATTCATAGATTTCTATAATAATCTTTTTGATTCCGTAAATAAGGGATAGAAAGCTTTTCAAAATTATGGACTTTGAATTATCGTTGGAACGCTCTTGATGGCCAGGCAAATACAGAGGCCTGTCATCCCTGATTAATTTTGACTACTCAGGGAACGTCTCGGACCCAATCAGTTACTTCCGGTAACTAATGGGAGTTGCAGGAAATTTCCTGCAACCAAGTGTTGCCCATTCCATCGCCTTGCACTTAGCTATACGGTACTGCTGACAGCTAATGAGCACGCAAAGCAGGAATTTTTGAATATGTGGAGGAACAAACATCGAATATGTTTTTGGACCACATGAAACCAAAATACATGTTTGACACAAACTTCGACGATTAAATTCTTAAAATGGTGAAGAGTGGAGAATGAACATTCATCCAAAGAACATACTCGGCCGAAACACCTGGTATACAGAGGGGTCGAAAAATGAACATAGTACGGGTGGTGGAATTTACTGTAAGGGAGAAATCTTCATTTCAGTTATCCACTCAATCAGCACACATTAGTTTTCATGGGTGAAGAGTACGAAACATTGCAATGATCAACGACAATCAATTTGAAGCTTCAACTATATGAGCGGTTTTCATGGACAGCCATGCTGCACCAGATGCAGAACATGAACTCTATATATAGGCCCTTCACTGCAGTCTATCAAAATCATTGATAAGGAACCAGACTGGTACACAGCATACCTACCAGGTATTGATTTTTGTTTGGATACTGGGGATGTTACCTATCATATTGTGAATGGTAAACAGTTCATAAAACTGCAGCGCGTTTTACTATACAATAACTTCCTTGTATAATGAAACACATGTTGAGGTTTTGTAAACTGTTCATGATGAGTATGAACACACTTGAAGTTATTGCATATTGAAACACGTGTTCAGTTTTTGTTAAATGCTCAGTGAAAATCTCAGTGTTCTCGTGGAGAGTGAAACGTCATTCAGGACCCCGACCCTATCTATTTCCAGTTTGTGGATAGCAACTCCCCTTGACGATCTATTTCTGGGACGAACCCCATATCGGCCAATCTCCAAAAAGCTTAGGACATTGATTCTCAATTTGTATTGTTCGAACTAATAAGGATCCCAGATCGTCCTAGGGAAATTGAAATTTCTTCTGTAGAGCAGCTCGCTGCATCAATAAAAGGCCTCACATTTTTATTCAATATCATTTTATTTTTTATATAATTCTTATTACTAATTAATCTAATTGATGTATGTTCAGTAATAAATTAGGAGGGAGTGTTGTATAAGTTATTGCACTGGCGTGGGTCAGGATTGTCGTTAGCGCCAGCACCGCACCACCCCACACTTCGTGGAATGTTTAAACACATGAAAACAAAGATGATAGGTATATAAATTATAAATATATTATATAAAAACAATTAGGGAGGCCCTCCTCCGAGGAAACCACCATCACAATAGCTACCGACGCGACACTAAAAAGTTTCGGTAAAAATTTCTTCGCCTATATCATACAGCGCCACTATCATAAAATGTCACATGTATTTGTAAAAATGAGAAACAAACGAGCAACAGGTGCGTAGCTATGCCAAAGTCTACCGTCACTAGGGTAACAATCCGTTATTTTAAACACAGCCTCGCAAAGCCATAAATACTTTTGGGTATCTTGATTTTACTCAATTCACTAAAAATTATATATATATAATATATGTATACATATATATAGTATGGTACAGTTTTCTATGTAACATATTTACAACTTTGTATATTTAATACATAAAACAAATTTATATATTTTCAAAATGTACAATATTTACATGTATATGCATAAATTTTCACTGTTTAGTCTGACAGTTTGTTAGAAAGAAACGCGCGGCACCACTAAAGTTGCTCCACGAACTTGCTCAGCTGGTCTTGAGGAGTCATGGTAGGCACTTCGTTGTTGTCTTGATTCGAAACTCCTGCAGGCGATGAGTGTGGATGCAGCGCATTCGAATGGTTTTGACTCAAAAGCATTTCTGATGTTGCGAGATCATGAGGCGAAGGTTGAGGCCCCCGAGGGCTCGGAACTGCCTGGTTTCGAGGACTTGGGGCGGCTCTTGATGATGGACTAGGTTGCGGACTTCTGAAAATGATAATATATTTCAATACTGAGGACTCTTATCTGTCAATGATCAAATAAATTCGAATTTATTTTACAAAGAGGAATTTGATAATTAGGACTAATTTTAAAAATAGGTTCAATGGTAAAAATTGTTATTTAATATTCTCGAGTAATGAAATAAGGTGCATGATCTCCTGTGTTTATAGTGTGCTCCGCATATGGATAAAACATCACTGTTGTCGTCTAGACAGTTCAACAATCGATGACAACAACATTGTTCTCCGTTGACTATCTGGTCTTTCAGAGAATGTAGAGTCTCGAAACTAATTATTTGTAATTCACTAAATTTCAAGAGGAAATCCAAGATTATTCATCCAACTTCAATGGAAAATTCATCACGTTGGAACAAAGAATCCTGAAGATGGAAGAAATATCGAAATCAAATAAATGTCTTGAAAAAAGGATATTGAATCTTGAGAAACACAATGAAAGTAACAAGTCCCTAGAAAATTAATTCAGGGAATTTAAAAAACATTTTGAGTCAAACAAACACACAACGATAACTATAATTTCAAGAAAAATAGTATTCTCAACTCACTTCAGTTTATACCAGTTTATTCACTTTCTGACAATAATGAAGTTTCTTTACAAATTCATTAAGGAATGTTTCTGGAGTAATTTCATTCTAACCATGAGCTCTAAAGTAAACTGCAGTGGTGTAACGTAAAATTTCGATTTCACCAATCCTCACAAAAATCTTCAGCAGGCCATTCTAAGGGACCACGTTTACCTATCTAATGATTTGGATTGTCATCTAGCCACTTTTAAACCAGCTTGTCGTGATAATGATGTACCTCATCTTGCTGAAACCTAAAATTAGTTGAAAACCGGTAGACAGACAAACATGATCCCTTAGAAGAGCCCACTAGGTCATCTGATAGTACGCAGAGATGTTTTTGGGGAAATATTTGACATCTGAACTGTACGATATACAACGGCAATTCATTTTAAAACTTGTGGATAGGTAAAGAGATATTTCCCCAGGAACATTTCATAATATAAGAAAAAAATTTATAAGTAGATTTCATTATTGTCAGGGAATGAATGATAAACATTTTGAATATTTACTGAAATGGACTGGAGTGAGTTTTGAATAATTTTTATATAATATTGTATAATACTTTGTAGTTAGTTATAGTCCCTGATTATAAGCATTTATTATTTCTTGAGGCAAAAATTGAATATAAAACTGCTAATCACTCGAGATTGGATAATTCAATTTCCAACAATAAAAAAAGAATTTGATAGAGAATAGAAATACCTATTAAACGGGGTATCACAGGACCCCTCTTTCGATTTGTAAAAAAACAGTTGGTAGCGCCCTCCAGGCGAAAAGTGATGCAACAAATTGTTATATCAAAAACTACTAAAAAGGATACCTTCTTACGTAAATTTTGTCTGGTGTTGATATCTTGTTACATTCAAAAGTTGAGAGGGGGTGACTATTTACTGTTATGTAAAAATCTCACAAAGCGTTAAATTCAAATATTTTTATAATAACATTTACTGTTCCCAAGTAACACACAACATTTCACCAATCGTATTGCTATGGAGAATAAAGCAGGGCTTCTAATCGGTAAAACACTTCTCTAATAAATACTTATAGTACTCTCAAATAGGACAGTGAAGCCAACAAATTATCTTGTAATGTACCATACTAGCAAACAAAATGCAAGAATTGAAACAACCCTATTTTTACCTAATAGGAGGCGGACTCCGTACACTCTGCATCAGTTGCTGTTGCTGCACAGAAATCCCCTGAACTTGAGGAGGACCCATCACCCCTTGCGGTGATGTAACTGACGATGGCGATGGTTTCAGTCCTTGCATTTGAGGATACTGTTGATCAGTAAAGGAATTGTTATATCCTAGGTGTGGCTGCCGGATACCTGGCAATCGCTGTTGATACGTTGGGCAAGCACCGGGCTGTTGGAAACCCTGCTGCTGCTGCTGTTGATGTGCTGCTTGCTGCTGCTGTTGATGTGCTTGCTGCTGTTGCTGCCTTTGGATCGCTAGCATCTGTTGATGTTTGTACCACTGAGGCTGACTCATTGGCTGGCCAGGTCCTTGGTTTAAGCCTTGGCCTGGTTGATTCATAATTCCACTTTGAATTTGCATTCTAGTTTGGTGCTGTTGATTAGCATTCGGTTGCGTGTTGAGAATGTGCTGTAACTGTTGTTGGGGAGGTGCGCCACCACCTGCCTGCTGAATCTGCTGTGCCTGCTAGAGAAACAAAATTTCAATTTTCTTCAAATTATTCTCATTCTCGCAAATTCCAGTAAAAATTAATTATGTTATTCTGCACAAAAGTGTGCAGAATAACATATAATAATTATAAAGGAATTGAAAAAAAAAGATGATAAAGGAAAGCGATCTTGTTGGTGGTATGCTTATTATTGCAAAAAATGTGAATGGGATAAGGCAGGTCCTTAACTTTGGAAGTTATATTATTTGATCTGTTTGTGTCTGTATGAGTTTTTTTTCTTGATTAATGTTCAAGTTAATTATCCCCTAAAATGAACTGTAATAGCGTTTTGGAAAAATAAACATTATCAGGCTATCGTTATCAGGCTATACGATCTGTTCATTTTTTCCAAATATTCAGGAAACTCTATTGTAAAAATAGTGTTTTGCTAAACTTTGTGACATTAAATAAAAATACCATTTATTATTATCATTATCATATTCAATACTTTCGAATTTCTCAAAATTACAAAAAACATATCAAGAAATGAAAATAAATCGTTAAGTCTAGACTAAGGAAAATGAATGGGTTTAAGAGTTTCATAAAAATTACCTGTTTTCAGGGTGTTAGTATCCTAGGGATCAGGAAACAGGACATGTCAGGATCAAGAGAGGTTATTTGGGAGAATAGAAAATAACATAAACAAGGAACTTATGTAGGAATAAAAAACCAATTTCCATTTCTCTGAAACAATGAAAACAGGACTGAAAAAAATTAAAATATTGCTCAATAGGTTATGTTGTATACAAATTCAAACATTAATTTTAGTAAGAAAAATCAACTTTGTTTCCAGACAAGAAGAAATGGAGACGTTCCTGAGGCGTTCACTAAACATCAACTGTTGATTTATTGATAACTCAATACATTTCAAGTTTGGAATCCATAGGTTATTAAAAGTTAAGCTTCAAGCTATTTTCTTGAACTAAACTTCACTCATATTAACCATTTTTACCAATATAATACCAGAAATTATAATTTATAAAAGAAATTCACGAAAATAAAATGATTGAGATATTTTTTAGTATACTGTGAATTCACTGAAAAAAAAAATTGAAAGAATTCCTTCTTGCCAGTTTTATAAAATTTTATGAATTATCAAACTCCATGCGCATGATTGTATCAATCAATGTAATATGATTGTAACGATAATTCTTGATTAATATTCATTTATCATTATTGACCACCTTCCCATCTGTTAAAAGTAGCAAATGATATAGCCTCGGCCTGGGATAAGTCGCAATACACAAGCCACATTATCTTGGATCGAGTGGTAGTCCTTTATGCTAGATTACAAAGAATTAGGATGTATAATGATTCAATTTCGAGGTGTGGAATAACATCATTTGGACTTGTTCCTTTCTGTTTGCTATACTATTATTCCAAACTAGTAGGCTCTAAATTCTCAGAAATGATTGAAGTTTTTGCCTTAATCTATCTTCCAGTAGCCTACGAAAATTATTCTAAACAGATGAGGAAAAATGATGACAAAGTACATAGAATCACAACCTTGACAAAGTTTTTATTTTAATGCAATATTTCTGAGAATTTAGTGCCTTCTATTATGGAATTGTAATATAGATTGTTTTGACCTACCTAAGATGATGAAAATCAACTTATACGCAGATATATCTTGAATGCATGGCGAATGTTTTAAACCGCATAAATTTTGAACGAGACAACATATTTGTGTGGGGTGCAATAAGAATATGACTCTTTGTATAGAACCAGTAATTCACAAAACTGAGTATAATATTCAAATCTATTATTTCTTATAATCATTATATCAAAATAATATTGAAAATTCCAGACTCTTCATTAATAAGACAATCTATTGTTCATAATAATATAGAAATTTGTATTTTTACAATATCCAGTTTCTCAACTAGAAAATTTGAAGGTAGCTGCTATAACTTAGCAGCTTTATTGAATAACAGTATAGACAAACTGAAATTACCATTCAAGATATCCTACTGAGAAATTAAACAGTCCTTCAACAGATGGAAAATGTTTGAAATGTGGTTTAATAGTTATTATAATTTTTCAAGTATTATATTCATTGCCATGTATCTGTTAGTATTTTATATAAGTTATTAGATAGATAGATAGATTCATTTCATTTGAATAGAAATCTTAATATAAAAATAAATAGTATGTGTAAAGTGAATCAAAAGTGCACAGATAAATGCACAATCATTAAGCTATTGGAAAATAATGACAATACATTAGGCCTATTATTTTGGAAAATATAACATTAAAATTGTTTTCCAAAACAAAAAAAACTTTTGGCAGATCTACCATTCACAGGCAATTTATACAATTGGTTGGAGAGCCTTAAAAAAACAGTTAATTCAAATGTCCGGAGTTATTAACCCTGCATATATGCAAATAATCTCTATTCCGAGATCATTGTTCATTAATTTCTATGTTGAATGTAATTGGGTCACAAAGGTATGATGGTGCTGATTTATTCACAATTTTGTAGATGAAAATCATTGAAAAAAATAAAAGAAATGTTAAAGCACCTTAAACCAACCCAATGTAGATTACATATTGCTGATTGGTTTATAACGAAAGATATGTTATTCGTATTCCTCAATTCTGAAGTTTGAATAGTTGCTCTAATTTATTTAAATTAAAATTGTATAAGACTTGCATAGTTAAAATAAGGCTGAATAATACTTCTTCCTACACACTGTAATTCTTGTTTCAAGGAAAAAACTAACCACACCAAATTGTAGAAAAAAAATTACAATAACAAAAAAATACCTGTCTCTGCTTGATGAATGCTGCCATAAGCTGAGGATTAGACTTAAGTATCGAAAGTATTTGTTGTTGCTGTTCTGGAGACTGAGGCGAGCGCAATGTTTGCATGAGCTGTTGGAGGGCTTGCTTTTGCATCATAGGTGGGGGTGCTGCACCTGGCCTTACACCTGCCGGATTGGCTTGCAAGGGTGGTTGACCCATCTGACCTGGTTGCAGTACTTGTGGCACAGATTGTCGGATACCAGGCGCAACACCACCGCCAGCGTACCTTGGCTGCCACTGTTCCATTGGCAAGAGATTTCCACCTGAAACAAATAATACCCTTCAGAGAATCATCCTACAATAAACATCAACAACGAAATGGTAAGAAATACTTCTTAACTTCATGAATACTCACTTGAACTTTGAAATTAGACTGTTACGTTAATACTATTTTTCACAGAAACAGGACTTTAGGATACTCAACATGACTTCATGTAATATTTAATATTTA